CGCCGCCTCTCTCTTCCTCGCTTCGCCCCCCGCCTTTTTCCCTGCCGTGACTTTCCCCAAGTCCGCCCCCTTCTTCCCGGTGGGGCTGGGAGAAAGCTTCTTCCCCTGCCAACTTTCCCCGGCGCGCCCAGCACGTGGGCAGCGGCGGACGCGTGTCTGCGGGCTGCTGCCGCTCGGGATTCCCCCCCTCCAGCTTCTTCCCAGGGGTGGGGACCTCAATGGAGGTTCAGGCTTGGGTTGGGTTGGGAGACGCGACCCCACACGCTCCTCGCCCAGCGGCCCCCTTTGGGCAGCAGAGTGGGGGGGCTTGGCCCCGCGGGCTGCAACCCCCCCGCCCTTGTTGATCGCCCCCAGGGTCCTGGGTTCGAGGGCTCTGGTGCTCCCCCCCCCCAGAACGTGCCCGGGTTGTCCCTGCTCAAGCGTTTGGAAGGGGTGGGGCAGAACCAGGGAGGGATCCTAATTAGCCAGCTTAATTTGGAGGAGTTTGGATTTGGGACAGATCCCAAGAAGGGGTGGGGGGGCAGCATCAGTGCAGGAGGGGCTGGGGCTGCAGAAGGACACCCTCCCACCCACCCCCATCTTGTAGTGGGTGGCCTGGCCAGGAAAAGGGGGGGGCTCTCCTTCCTTCCCACGCCTTTTCTGGTTCGGCAGCTGTCCTTGGTGGAATGGAGCCTCCCTGGGCAGGAGCACTGTGTCTTTGAAGGCTGGTCATCTCAACCCCCCCTGCCCCGTCCGCACAAGAAAGGGGGCCTTGTTTTCCCCTGCCTTTGTGAAAGGGGGCTGCTTTTGAGAACGTCCTTTAACCCCACCTGCTTCCCGTCATTTGACCCAAATTTGCAAATGCAAGCATTTGGAAAAACGGGTCTAGCGGTGGGAGACACGTTCGGGAGCTGGGACAAGTTATTGTAGCGGACTCCGTCGCGTGGATTCGATCTTACGACTGCTTGGTCTTCTGACCCTGCAGCACAGGCTTCTGCAGTTTAGCCCGCAGCGCCACCACGTCCCCTAGTTGCAAATGCAAGCATTTGGAAAAACAGGGGTCTAGTGGTGGGAGACACGTTTTGTCTTTCATTATTATTCTTACTATTGTTATTAATTTTATGATGGATTACGGTGTAATTCTGAGCAGAGACTGCCTCATTTAAGACATCTTTAGGGTGTCGCATCAGTGGCTTGGAGTGTACTCAGAAAGAATATATAACATACGTACTGTAGTTACATTTTCATATTGGCATGAATTAAAATGATCATATTGAACGTCCAAATTCCAGGCGGAGAAGAACGGGGCTCACGAAAGGCCAGCTGAATCACGGTTTTATAGCGTTCTCTATTATGCACGTTCTTTCGGCATCCGCAGATGCCTTGGAACCCGTTCCCCCACGGACCCTTTATTTCCAGCGGCCCTTCCCTCCACAAAAATTCCCCCGGGGGGATCAGAAATGGAGACACACCCCATTGCCTTCCGTTTTTCTGTTTCGAAACCCTGACACTTCTGCTTTCTCTTTCCGAGGGCGCCTTCTTGGCCAGAGAGAAGGCGTCAAAAGCCGAGGAAATGGAGCCAAGACCAGGCAGGGCGCCTGCCGCTGTGCTGAGTCAACAGGACCAAGCCTAGCCTTGAGGACTAGAACCTTTGCTTGCCTCCTGATCTCTTGCACACCAGCTTGTGTGGACCTCTAAGGCTGCAGAGCTCTCTTAAAGTCAAAGAAGGATTTGGCTCCACCCTTGAGTATCAGTGTTTCAGAGAGGGTGTGTCTACAGTAGGATCCCTGTATCTGCAGGATCAGTATCTGCTGAGACACTCATCCATGGTCTGAAAATATATATTTTGAAAGATGAAGTTCCCAGAACTGGCCCCAAGAGGGAGCTAGAGACTATCCTAGGTAGAGTGTTGGCTGGAGAAAAATATTTCCACTGTGTCTTTACCAGAACTGGCCCTAAGAGGGAGCCAGAGACCGTGCTATGTAGAGCATTCCTTATTATCCACATTTTTCAGCATCCGCAAGGGGGCTTGGAACCGATCCCCCATGGATACAGGAGCCCTACCGTATTAGGAACGGTTGCAAAAGCCGTCTCTAAGCTTAAAGCCACCGACTCAAACCCTTTTCGGGGGAAATGACGAAAAATACAGCAGCAAAACTGCTCTCATGTTGGAATGATGGTCTCTTTGGCGGGTTGGCGAGATGGGTTGTCGTGCCAAAGTGGCCGGATTCCAGCCATGGGGGACAGGCTGGATTTTATTTTATTTTTTTCTCCCCCTTATCCGCACTCGGCACCGTCTTGTTGTCGAGCTAAGGGGGAAAACATTTCCCCGGCGCTGCTGGCTGGCTGAGACCTTTTCTCCCACAGGGCTCCTCTGGGTCTCTCTCTGCAGCTGACCCGCCCGGGGCCGAAGGACGCTGGGTTTAGCAGAAGGACAGGAACGCACCGCCCTTGTGGGGGGGGGGAACGTGGCGATGTCCAGGGATCAACGCACATTCCACCATCACTTTTGGAACACAGAATAGGTTGCGAAGCGATAAAAACCTCTCCGGTCTCCGGTGAGCAGCAGCTGCGGCATCCGAGACGGCCAGGCCTCTTGCCAACTTCAGCTCTGCGCTCGCTCGGGAAAGGAGGGAGGGAGGAAAGGGGCCGAGCCGAAGCAAGCAGGGGGGGGAGTCCAGGAGGCAGACGTAACCCACCCGTGGGGTTTTATGCATTTGTGCATGCATTTGTTCATTTAAAAGTTTTTTTTTCACCCCGCCTTTCTCCTGCAAAAGGACCCCAAGGCAGCTGACCTCCTGAAAAAAACAAGGCTTGGAAGCTTTAAAAAAAACGGAAATATACAAATATTTCAAGAGAAATTAGACAAGGATTCGACAGGGACTCGAGTCGGGGGGGGGCTTGCTGCCAAGTTGGGCTGGAGCCGCCCCGGCGAAGCTATTTCGGTCACACCGAGATGCCTCTGGAGGCAGGCGGCAAAGGGCCTGGAGAGGTCAGGATTTGAACGATGCTCGTAAGACACCCCTCGAAGCTTTGTGGGCCTTCGTTCTACACGGAAGCGAACCGGGGGCGGTTAAATTTTTTTTCTGGCCGCGAGAGCGAAAAAGGCAGCCGGTTCAGCCGCGGAACTGCCCGCCACGTGGTGTTCGCTTTTAGGTGCTGTTCAAAGAAGGATTCGAGCAGTGGACAGAAAGTCCTGACTTTTATCACTGGGGGGTGGTGGTCAGGAAATAACCAAAAGGGCTGGAATTTTAGGTGAAAAATAGAGGGAAAGGGTCAAATCTCGAGAAGTAGGAAATATCATGTTCTTTATTCTTCCTCTCCGCTAATGTTCTCCGATAAATCAGTGGAGCTGGTTCCAGACAGTGGCCGTCAATTCCTCTCCTACCTCCTAGGGCTGTTTGAAGGATGGGAGTGAGAGAAAGAAGGTAGAATATTAAACCAGTTCCCTTATCAGGTTCCCCCCCGATCATTTCCTGGGGATGACGCGTGCATAGGTTGGTGGACATGCAGATAAGCCTTCAGGAGGGAAGGGGGCCCCGATCATTTCCTGGCGATGATGCGTGCATAGGTTGGTGGACATGCAAATAAGCCTTCGGGAGGGAAGGGGACAGGCCGAGCCGTTTAAAGGGACACAGAAGCCAGAACAGGAGAGGCCAAGGAAAGGAAGTCCAGTCGGACCCCTGTATCTGCAGGATCAGTATCCGCTGGTTCACTTTCCCAACGTCTGAAGAAATAAAAATTATTAAGTATCTTAGAAATATATATTTCTAATGATGACGTTCCCAGAACGGGCCATGGGAGGGAGCCAGAGACTATCCCACGTGTTGTGTTTGCTATTGTAAAATAGGGTTTGCTGTAACCCACACTTTTCAGTATCCGCGGCGGGGGGAGTTGGAGCCGATTCCCTTTGGGTGCAAGTGGGGGCCTTACTGTACGAATGGAGGACTGGGGAGGGAAGGCACCTGCACCCTGAGGATTTGTGGCGGTTGGCCAGGACAAGATGGCAAGGCGAGGGTCTTTGAACAAACCATACGGCTCCGGGCAGATTCTTTCCACGTGGATAAAAGTCCTCTCTCTCTCTCTCTCTCTCCCTCTCTCTCTGTGTCCGTCCATCTCGCACACCCAGAGGGAGCTCCGGCCAGGCCTCCGGATGTGCATCCGACCTTGAAGCCTGGCCTTCGAACAGGGTGCCGGGGGAGGGCCAGTTGGAGAGCTGAAGCGAGAGCTTCCAGTCGCTATTTTTAAATGGCTTGGCAGCCACGTTGGCAGAAGCAGAGGGAGGGAAGGGGGGGAAAACGCACACACACGTGTCTTGCGGCCAGGGGTGGCCCCGGGCCAAACCTCTCTGCCAGGAGCCAAGAAGCGCTGACACCGCAGGTCCGCTTCCTGTGATTTCCTGACGGCTTTCCGTTCCCTTCATTATCTTTCTCCTCCGATCGCTTCCCTTCCTCCCTCCGTTTTCTTCTCCGCCTCCCTACCAAAAAAAAAGAAGAAAAAAGAAAGAAAGGCTAAATCTTTATCACCTTTATCATCATAGCCCCACCTGGCAGGAGGAAGACCTTGAACCCACTTCATCCAGATTTGGTTGGGTTTTGGGAACAAGGAGAAACGTTTATTTGGATTTCAAGGCTCAGTTGGGTGCATTCGCTGGCCAGAATAGGGCACGCCGCTCAGTGAAGTGGTGTACAAACAACTAAAATAAATAAATATAAGAATGGTATGGAAGGGAACCATGTCCCCTCCCCCCAGTTGCATCAACTTATGGATCTGGCCCTCTGGCAGAAGTGGAAGGGTTTTAAATCCCCCCCCCCAAATGAGTCCCACTGAATTTCTTTCAGTGCTTTGAGGAACTTTTGCTGCGCTTTATCACGGTAATAAACCAGAGGTCTCCTGCGCTGTGCTACTTCCTCACAACAATCTGGTGAGGTTGGTGCGTAACTGACCTGGGGGTCCCTAGCAAGCTTTACCACCAAAGGAGATCTGGAACCCAGATTCCTTGGTGGGAAGGAGAGCAATGAAAATACCAATTCTGCCCGCACAGATTGAACAGGGATGCCCGCCTGGAAATGTCACCGACATGGGTCGTCTTTCCAATTCTGAGCATCCCCGCTTTCTTCCCCCCCCCTTCCTGCACGTTGCATGGATGCGATGTATGGCTGCACTCCACCACGCAGCTGCTTTCCTTCCCTGTTCGGGGAGCAACCTGGTGCGTGCACGTGGGGGGGGAGCCCTCCGTCTCACAGAGCAGGGAGGAGAGGCAGCTGCCGATCCCTCTGCCCCCTGGTGCGAGCACTGCCCTGGGTGCCATCTGGGTGCGCACAACCTTCCCCCCGCTCCTCCTCTCTGGTGGCCGTAAGTTCTGTGCAAGGGACTCTTCAGCTGTCTCAAACAGAGCGTGAAGTCCTTCCGCAGCCTCCCGGCAGCGGCGCTCCAGTGGCACGTAAGCCACAGCGCACTGTGAGGTTCCCCCCGCCTGCGCGTGCAAGACTCAGAGCAGCTGAAAACGCCCAGCAGCTGCTTTGAGGCATCCCTGGTTTCTTGAGCATTCGCCTTGGGTGTCAGGTGGTAGAATACGAAACTCCCGTCCTCCTTCCAGGGTGGGAATGGTGCATGCACAACCCCTCCTCTAAGTCAGCTTTGGGGGGCTCTGGAGCCCTCCCTGCTGGGAAAAAAAATGCTCGGCCCCAAATGGAGCTCCCTGCTCCCTGGAGATGTGATTCGTTTTTTCTCGTTAGTCCCACTTCCGAAGCCAGTCGGGACCCGGCGCGAAGCTGCTCAAGAACCGACGAGAGACGGCAAACCCTCATTTGCCGAGGGCTTGGGGGTCCTCTTCTTTCTCTCCTCTGTTGCGGGGCATGGGGGGGGATGACCATTTCTGATTCGAGATGGTCATGAACCGAATCACGAACCGGCAAAAAACAACGAATCGGTCCAGTTCGGAGTTTAATTCGCTGAGTGCTTCGAGGAACCTGTTTGGCCAAAACAGAACGAAGGGGCGAACGTTGTTCCCCCTTGGCATTTCGTTTTGTGTAGCAAAAAAGGGGGATACCCGCCCATGCCCTTCCCGCCGTGGAAACCGTCGCGAACTGCTGGTTTCCCACTTTGGGCCTGTTTCTGTTCCTAATGAACGGCCTAGAACATCTTTGGCTCTGGCCCGCCTAGAAATAATAATGTTTCGTGCTCTTTCTTTGTCCTCCTGTGTCTTGCTTGTCAACTAACCCTATTTTCCACCACCAGGGAATGAATCGCCCACCAGGTCTCGGCCAGAGTGGGATTCTGGACCCGTGACGGTACTAACCGGATGATTGATGGCTGTTTAATCTCTTCCCCATCAACTAACCACTTGCCTCCATCAGTATTAACCAATGTCAACAATTAGGTAACACCTTAACTTCATTTCCCCTTATTTCTAAGTTTGTCGGCTTGTTACAGTTCAAGCGAACGATGCCACAGCTTTGTGCTCCTTTTCATGTGAAGTTTTGTCCGTTCGCAGCGGTTCGTTGACTGGCTGAACCGCTGTTCGACGCTCCCCAGCCCCGCCTCCTCCGGCGGGCACCCCCCCTCTTGGAGGCAGCACCCCAGCCCCGCCTCCTCTGGCGGGCACCCCCCCTTCTTGGAGGCAGCGCCCTGGCTTCTCTGACCCGCCTCCTCCAGCCGCTGCCTCTGGATTGGGCGCCTGCCAGAGGAGGTGGGCCTGGGGAGCCCTGAAGGCTGTTCATTCTAGTCGACAAACCGGCACGAACCGACAAATCAGTGGTTCATGCCCATCTCCATTGGGAGTGTCTGCTTGAAGATGATTTGCAGGTTACAGTGGGCACCAAATCCAGGAGGCCAATGGGGCGAAGTCACGACAGTCCCGGTGGGGCTGCAGTTCGGACCCAATTTTTATAGTTTTGACCCCAAACTCGGGTGTTGGAAGAAAGGTATCTCCAGTGGCCATTTGTACAATGTTCTTGATTCTGGTTGTGTGTAGGGGGGTGTACACGAAAGGAAGGTTCAACGTGGTGTAGGTTTCTGGTAGTACAGCAGGGCCTCCTGTATCCACAGGTTCAGTATCCGCTGATTCCGTTATCCATGGTCTGAAGAGATCCCCAAGGGGATCCTGGGGTTCCTTTGGGTCCAGTGTGTAAATGCCTGCTGCCTCCTCGGGGTCTCACACTGCTGCTTTTCCACCCTCCCCAAACTCTGCGGCAGGGAGCAGCCGATTTTCAGCACCAGGGCCCACATCTTCCAGATCGACCCAGCCACCAAGAGGAACTGGATCCCAGCAAGCAAACATGCCCTCACCGTCTCGTACTTCTACGATGCGACCCGCAGTGTCTACAGGATCATCAGCGTGGGAGGCACCAAGGTGGGTGAGAGCGCCCGGAGAAGCGGGTTTCTCCCCTTTCTCTTCCGGCGCGGACGGCGGCGAGTCGCTGAGGGCTAGCGGCTTTGATTTGAGTACGTTGATGTCCTCCTGCCTGGCCTTATAAGGAGGAAAGACCGAAGGATTTAAAAAAAACAACAACAGACCACGTTTAGCCTTGAGAAAAGGAGACCGAGGGGGAATAAGATGGCACTTTTCAAATACTTGGAAAGGTGGTCCTGCAGAGGAGAGACGAGGGGGAATAAGATGGCACTTTTCAAATTTTGGAAAGGTGGTCCTGCAGAGGAGAGGGGCAGGATCCGTCTTCCATCCTCCCAGAGGGCAGGAAGCATTAGACTCAAGCTATAGGAAGCCAGAGGTCGGTTGAATGTCATGGGGAAAACTTCCTAACTGTTGGAGAAATACGACGACGGGACCCGTGACCGCGGGAGGCGGTGGGGAGTGCTCCCACGCTGGAGGCCTTCGGGAGAAAACTGGGGCCCCCACCCTTCCCTCATCGGCAGGGATTTGGATGGGATGGCCTTAGAGACCCCCTTCCAACTCCGTCATTCCAGGATTCCATCACCCTTCTCTTCCCGCTTTTTACAAACTGACCCAGTTGACAGCCTTCTGAACGTTTCCGGGTTCCCACACCCGGAAACCCCAGAGGTTACGGCCGGCGGGAAGGCATGGCAGGAGCAGAAATGCCCATTTCCTCCGATTCTAGCTCACCAACCTTTCTCCTTTCTCGGCTCTTCCCAGCCCCCTTTTTTTCCTTCTTAAAAGCGATTCATGCAACTGTGCAAAGCGTGGCTTGTCTTGTTTGCCATTTTCCGCCTTCTTGCCCTTTTTTTTCCGTTTGGCCAGGCCGTCATCAACAGCACCATCACCCCCAACATGACGTTCACCAAGACCTCGCAGAAGTTTGGCCAGTGGGCGGACAGCAGGGCAAACACGGTCTACGGGCTGGGTTTCGCCTCCGAACATCATCTGTCCCAGGTAAAAAGGGGCAGGGACAAGGAGAAGCGGGGGGGGGGGGGCTTTCCTCTTGGCCTGCCTGGCCCAAGCCCGAACCTTTCCCTCTTGAGAGACCATAGGACCCACTTTGCCGTAGTGTGAAAATATTAAAAGAAAAATTCCCAGAAATGTAGACTTCTAACAGAAGTTAACAGAACTGGCCACCCAAGGGAGCCACAGGCCATGCTACGTAGAGTGTTCAGTATGATCATCGCGATTGCCATCATCTGAGGTATCCAGCATCCATGAGGGGTCTTGGAACCAATTGCCCGGGGATATTTTTTGGGGGTGGGGTTCTTCCTGTGTTGTTTGCCTTTCTGTTGCTCCACTGAGCTGATGAAGGCAGCAGAGAGGGCGTTATGTCTTTAGAACCACCCTGCGAGGTCTGCTGAGCCGAGTGAACGGCCTTTGAACCGCTCCGTGAAGTTATAAATCTTCTGCCAAGATCTTTCTGCTGTCTGAGGCAGAAGGGGGCTTTTGAACGGCCCCTCCCCAACTTCAGAAGTCCCCTCCCCATCCCTCATCACTTTTTTCGTGGTAGAAACAACATTTCGCCGTGGGGTGGGTCTGAATTTCCCCCAATGCATCTTTGCACCATGGTTTCCCCAGTTAATTTTGTCTTGCACGTTGCCTGCCATGGCTTGCTTGCTTTTCATAGGCCTCTGGCGATGTTGGCAGGTTTGCCCCCGCTCTTGAACTCACACCGGTCTTGGATAGTCCTGTGAGCTTCCGGGGGTGGATTTGAACCCGGCTCTCCCAGGTCCTCGCGTCGCGTTCTGAGTCACCGCACGCTCTGTAATTAAAGCCATGTGATTTTAATTGCTCTGCCTGCTGCTTTGAGAACCCTATTAATTGGTGGGGAGAAACGGGTAGGAAACTATGGAAATGAAACCGTCGTGCGGCAGCTTTCACACATCCAAAGAGCTGGTGGCACACAGAATTCGGAGGGCGGGCTTGCGCCTCGCCGTTCCAGAGGGCAGGATTGGAATCCGTGAGTGGGAAATTCATGGAATTTTCCAGCTTTACTAAAAGATAGAAGAGAAGCCTCTTCCAGACCCAAGAGGGTGTGTGGGGAGGGGGACGAAGGCTTTGGAACCGAGCAGAGACTGGGTGGCTAAAGGTGAAATAAATAAAGGGTCTTAGAAGGCCAGAGCTGGGAGGGACTCGGGAGATCATCCAGTCCAGCCCTCATTAAGAAGGCCCCGTGGGAGGGTTCAAACTCCCAAGACTCGCCTGTCAGCGAGCGGCCACCCCCATCTGAAGGGGAAGGGGGTGAATAAGACAGGGGGTTAAGTGATCTGAGGGCTCGAGGTACCGGGGGCGGCCCCTGTCCCATGGTTTGGAAAACTTTAGCAGGCCACTTAGGGTTTTGTGTGTGTGTGTGTGTATGTGTTTCTTCCTCCCCCACACCCACCCACTGCCTTCTGCTGTGGCAAAAGTTTGCAGAAAAGTTCCAGGAGGTGAAGGAAGCCGCCCGCTTGGCCCGGGAGAAGTCCCAAGACAAGACGGAGCTCTCCAGCCCTGCCCTCAGCTTGACTTCTCAGCAGGTAGGCAGGCGGGGAGCCGTCCTCGCCATCATCCACGGTTGTTTTGTTTTTTTAGGAAATGGCCAGTCTCGAACCTTGTGTAGGAAGAGCACACAGCCTGTACCCTGAGTGAGGGGTCCAAACAGTATCCACGTCTTGGGGGTTCAAAGGGGCTGTTTTATTACAGGACAGGAGTACTTCTATGTTCTGCGTGTTCTCCGATGGCCATTACAGTAGGACGCCCATAACCACAGGATTAGTCACCAACATCTTAGAATGGCAGGGCCGGAAGGGATCCTCGAGGTCATCCACTCCAGCCTCTGTCAAGGAGGCCCCTGTGGCGGAATTCGAACTCCCAACCTCTGGCTCCACAGCCAGGTAGCTAAACCACTGAGCTGGCCGCATCATATCCATCCCTTAAACATATGAGCTGGCCATATCCAGTGAAAGAGGAGAGACCGGCAGAGTAAACTTAACAAGGAACAAGAGAGTAAAAGCAAAGCCACCACCCAAAAGGTCAAAAATACAGAGAAATATACAGTGGGACCCCTGTATCTGCAGGATCAGTATGCACAATTTCACTTTCCTGTGCTCTAAAAATATTAAACATCATAAAAGAAAAAAGACATTAGATAGATGTCTTTTTACTTTGTATTTACCAAAAATGGCCACTGGAGGGAACCAGAGACCACACCATGTAGTTTCATACTTGAAGAATACATATTCTGATCTCTGGCTCTCTCTAGTGGCCAGTTCTGGTAATACATGGTGAAAATAGGCTTTTCTGGAATTTATTTTCCTTTTACAATGCTATGTATCTTGTTCGCTATTATCCACAGTTTTCAGTATCTGCGGGGCCCTTGGATCCAACCCCCCGCGGATACGGGGATCTTGCTGTATATCAGAAAGAGCTGGCGAGTGGGTGTGCAGTGGGCTGAGCCTCTGGTGTATGGCCGATGTGGCTTATATGATGCATAATAAAGCTTGCAGGTAACCAAGGTCGGTTCAGTCTTGCTCACCTGAGTCGTGGTGCCCAAAAGCCACAGCCGAGCACCTTGGGATGGAAACATGAGGAAGGTAGAGGAAATAACTAAGAATTCCCTCCTCTCTCTGCCTAACCAGAAGGCCGGCAAGTTCTGGAAGGGAAAATTCTCTTTCCACGGCTGGTAGTGTGTGCATTTGTGTGTCTGTTTCCCTCTGATCTCCCGGGCAACAAGGACGGATGGATCCGGGTGCTTGTGGTGGTGGAAGACACTGTGTTCCAGGGGCTGATCGCAGATGAATTAGCAGCACATGAGGAGGCGGGGAGTGTGAACGGTCCTTTAGGCCTGGAAGACAAGGAGGATGACAGCTGGTTTGGGGGTTTGAACTCCGCAGGAGGAAGGGAAAAAACGGGAGCTCGCGATGTCTCACGGGGCACGATTCCTAAAAAGTTATCCACGAAGCATGGCAGAAATTTTTGGATATTTGGTGGCAAAGCGTCCTGAAAAGAGCAAGCGCTGCTTACGCCTCCCAAAGGGAATAAGACTTTGACCGAGGGAGGGAGGGAGGGTTGTAGTTTTATTTTGCGATCTTTCTTATTGGATTCAGGGGGGGGGGGAAGGGCTCCTCCCAAGTCTGAGCCTTTGGTCCCAAGTCTGAGGCTTCGGGTCTAAGTCCCAAGTTTGAGTCCCTATGAAAAACAAGCTCCCCCCCCCAAAGGAAAAAGGGACAGGGTCAGTGGGTCCCGAGTCAGAAAAAAAGAAACTGGAGTCGAGTTTGAGTTACCGGTGGTACTTCAGTCTGACATGACAGTGGGTCCCGCAACGCCAACTCCCCATCCCTGGCAGAGAGTCACCCCTTCTCCCCCTGCCCCGCCTTGACCCTCTTTTCTCCTGGGCTGTCCTGACCCACAGATCCTGCCTAGCCCCATCATCAGCTCCAATGGGGATGACAAGTTCTTCCGGAGCCAGAGTGCCGACCTGGAGATGACAACGGAACGGGAGCGGATCAAGAAGATGCTCTCTGAAGGGTGAGCGCCTCGTGGAGACTTGGGGAGCAGCGGTTCTCCCATGCCCCCCCAAGTGTTCTTGGAGGGAGCCCAAGACTGTGCTGTGTAGAGTGCTTGCAAGTACAACAGCGTTCACTATTATCTGCATTTTTCAGCATCCGCTGAAATGGAATGGAATTTAGATACAGGGGTCCTACTTTAAAAAAAAACTTTAAATGGTGCCCAGTGCTTTAAGCAGGATTAAAAAAGGGCTTTGGGTGTAACAGGCACCCTTTCTCCCCCCACCCCCTTCCATCACCCGTAGCTCTGTGTGCGAAGTCCAGTGGGAGGCCGAATTTTTCACCCTGCAAGACAACAACAACAAGCTGGTGGCTGCCCTGAAAGAGGCCAACGCCAACGTGGAGCAGTGGAAGAAGCAGCTGGCGGCCTACCAGGAGGAGACTGAGACCCTGAGGCTACGGGTGAGTTTTCTTGAGTCCAGGTCCCGAATTCGAGTGTGCATCAGGTTCGAAGCCCTGAGTTCCAAGCCCCTATTTAAAAACAAGCTCTTTCTTCCCCAGGAAAAAAAAACACAGGTGTGTGGGTTCTGAGTTGCATCTGAATCATTGGGGGGGGGGAATGCCTGAGTCGAGTTACCGGTGGAGTGAATAGTGAGACTTGTAACTCAAGTCCCCCTCCCCGGGTTTTACCCCACAGCACAAGCCTCCTGCCCTTTTGTGAGCTCCGGCCGGCAGGCGTGGGCGGGCGGTGTGGCGAGGATCCGGCCCCCGCCAGCCTCCCTCCTCTTTGGCATGCTTTGGCTCTCAGCTGACTGGGCACAGGGTGGGGGAAAAAACGAGGAGGTACGGACATTTAAGGTCGTCTTCCCGGCAGTCTTAAAAGGAGGCATCCAAGCGGAACGAATGGGGAAGCGGGAGCCGTGCCGTGCGTGATCTATGTCTTCGGGGAGAGATCCGGAGTGCTTTTCTGCCGACTGGAGACCACGGGTCCATCTGGCCCACGTTGGCCTCCAGCAACCGGGGAGGCAAAGAAGGTGAACTCCCCAGGATGCCAAAGCAAAAAAACCACACACAACACAACACATGCACACCCACAGCTTGCAGACTGTGCTGAGCGAGGCCTGCTTTTCAGGTCCAAAAAAGGAGTCGGTTTCCAGATACCTCAAGAGCAGGTTCCTAGTCCTCAAGAAACTTGGAAGAAAATACTCATAGGATGAGAGGAATGGGTGGAAAGAAAAAAGGTCAAACTGGAGCGAGGGTCCTGAGAAGAAATGAAACTGAGAACAGAACCCAGCTTCGGAATCCCGCTTCTTAAGCAGAATGAGGAGGGAAGAGTCTGCCAGAGGTTTCGAACGACAACTCCCATTGCCCAAACCAGCAAGGATCGCTTGCTTTGGGGAGATTTCTTGTTCTAGGCCTCTGACCTACTTCTCAGGGGTGTTTCTGAGTTTAAAACAGAGGCATCCAGACTGTCGCGAATTCCTGGGAGGGGCGGGGGAAACGTAGAGGTATAGATAAGAATGAAAAGAAATCTGGAGGGCTCCTGATTCGGAGAAGGTGGTTTAGGTACTTCTGCTGGGCAAAAGAGGATGCTGGGAGCAGGAGGACAGCCACATATGGGTTGGGAGCCATAACTCTTCATGGTATAGGACCCCCGTATCCACAGGAGGCTGGGTTCCAAGGCCCTTGTGGATGCTGATAACTGCGGATAATACCAAACCCTGGATGGATGGATGGATGGATGGATGGATGGATGGATGGGGGGATGGATGGATGGATGGATAGATAGCATGGTTAAAAAAATCCAGAAAAAATTATTTTCACCATGTATTACTAGTTTTGGCCACCAGAGGGGAAAAAAGAGACCATGCTATGTATTCTGCTCACTCCCCCTAGTGGCTGTTTCTAGTAAATACATGGTGGAAATACCTATATCTAATTACTGTAGTTTTTGTTTTTTTAAAAAATATTTTAATATTCTCAGGCTGTGGATAAGAGAGACTGACTGATCCAATGGATACGGGGGTTCCTACTTTTATGTGCAAACAGAACCTGCCCCTTGTCCACCCTCGCACCACTCTTGAGTAAATCTTTCTGTTCTTCTCCTGCCTGCCCCTTTCGTCTTCCCACAGGTGGCCGAGCTGGAAGCCCAGCGAGGGCACGAGGTGTCGAGCGAGGCCAGGATGGAGCCCAGCCCGGCCCTGGAGGAACTGGAGCAGCTGGTGAAAGCCAAAGAAGAGGTAAAGGCTTTGGTCTGCAGGATTGGGCTAACCACCGGCCTTCCTTCTGATTTTCCCCACTGACAAACGTCATCTCTTGGGGTGGGGGGAGTCTTTCCCTTCTGAAGTCTTTCCCTTCTCCCCATCCTCCCCCCCTTCCCGATGCAGGAGCTTCAGCAGCTCAAGAGCCAGAAGGGAGGCTGCTGGGAAGCCGACGAGGAGTGTGAGGAGACACGTCAGAAGGTGCAGGTAAGAGGGTGAGAAATCGTGGGGAAAAACTCTCCGGGTAGACGAATCCCCCTTTTTGGGGGGTGAGGCTGGGGCGTTAGGCCCTTCCCCTCCTTTTCTCTGGTGCATCTGGCTTGGCTTGCTTTCTCGAGTCACCTGGTGAACATGGGTCTGCGAAGTGGCCTTCTTCCGGCGCAGATCTGGGACAGGGGTTGGCCCAGCGGTGGTACATCACGGTACCATAGAATGATGGAGTGGGAAGGGGGGTGTCCTCGTAAGGCCATCCAATCCGACTCCGTCTGTTCTAGGCAGGAACCCCAAATCCAAGCCAATCGGACCGACGGGTCCCGTTTCCTCTTGAAAGGCTCAGAATCTCCCTCTGTCTGGGGCAGCTCCTGGTGCTCTTTGTTCTCCCTCATAATCCTTTCCCCCACCCCCAAAGAACCGCCAGAAAACCCAGCGCCCTCCGTGACTCGGGGCCCTTCGTTTCTTCCTCAGGACCTGGAGCGTCGAAACACGGACCTGGAGCGCCGGCTGCGCCTGGCGGAGCAGTCCCTCTCCGAGACCCTCTCCGAGCGGGAGAAGATGTACCACGAGGTGGTCAAGGTGGCCGAGATCATGGATATGAAGATCTTTGAGCTGAGCGAACTGCGGCAGGATTTGGCCAAGCTGGTGGACAGCCACTGAGCTGGGGGCTTGGGCGGGGGGGGGAAACAAGGGCTGAGCCGGATGACGGAGGGGGGGCCGGCCTTCCCGAACCACCGGCCTGGCCAACGCGTGCGAGGTTTGCCGTTAAGACCTCGAACCATGCTCTCACCCTTCAGTCTTCCACGGAGAGATCCGGTGAAGAAGGAGGGTCAGGCATTGCTTTCGAACCCCGGGCCCGATTCCTTCCAGAGATGCTTCCATTTCTACCAAGGGGCGGGTCTTTTCTGCGCAGTCCGAAGCCGTAGGTTTTGATAGAGAATGGTTCCCCCCCCTTCGCCCATCCCTAAGTGGGATCTGGGTACCCCCCCTTCTCCTTTCTGCCTGTAACCGTCTCGCTGTGTTTTTTTAACGGAGTTGCTTTTTATAGAGACGATCAGAGACTTCCGAATGGGAGCCAAATGCCTGGGAGGGAGAAAAAAAGCAAAACAAAACCCCACAAACCTCTTTCAGGGAGCGAACGGGAGTCTTTGTATTCTTTAACACACACACACACACATTTTCAAAAGCAAGCGAGGGGCGTTGTCTGAGCCAGCGAAAGCTGTGAGCACTGGTATTCAGCTGGGGGAAAAAAGGGAGAGGGCGTTTGTGTCTCGGAGCAAAACGCCGTCTCTGGGAAGAGGCGGGGTGGGAGCCCAACCAGCTGCCAGTCGGGAAGCATTCAAAATTTACAATTAGCGAGCCCAAACGAGGAAACAAAACAGACCCTCTCCTGGCTCGGCGGAGTAGAAATGCAGCAACTCCCGGGGAGATGGATGCAGCTGTGCGTGAGGGATGTGCAAACAGGAAAGAAGAGCTAGCATGCTTTCATGGGTGGGGAGAGAGGCCTGATCCTCTCCAGATGTTGCCGGACTGCGTCCTCTGGGGAGTGAAACCTGGCGAGCCGACCAGCGAAATTCATGGGGCTCCAGCCATCCCGGTCTCTCTCTTTGTTCACACCAACCAACCAACTCTCCCCCTCGTCTCTAGTCGTTGCTGATGGAATAGCCCTTGAAAGGGGAGCCCCCCATTTCCTGCTGGCCCCTGGCCCGCTCGTACGATCTTCACAGGTTTGTCCTACAGTATCCAAGTGAAGTGAGATGGGCATAATGCACCGTCTGGCCTTCCTCCCCTCCAGCTATGCTGGCCAAGGCTGATGGGAGTTGTAGTCCAGGTCCATCAGGAGGGGTCACTCTTCCCCCCCCCCATGCAATAAGGAGAGGAAACAGCTTCACTCCCCCTTCCTGCATGATGTTAAGAGGTTGGGCAATCGGTCTCTTTTCCATTTGCTTAAAAAAAATTTTTTTAAAAAAATAAAATGGTACATTTTTGGACCATGCCCAGTAAAACAGCCACCAGCACCAGAGGGGGCCAAGTGCTGGGGTGGTAGTGCAGCTTGACCCCCCCCCCGAACCTGTGGATTGTGCTGAATTGTCCGGATGAATGTCGGGCAGCGATAGATTAAGATAAAAGGATGGTAAAACCCAAACGGTAGGTGTTCCTTCTCGTTTTCCTGCTTGGTTCCATCTGGAGTTTCAGAAACTGTTTTATTTTTAACCGTGCTCTGATTCGATATCTTACGTCTCCCCTTTCAACCTGCCTTCTCCGATCACTTTGTCCCAAATTCGAGGTAATCTTAGCTCAAAACAAACCATTTGTAAAAAGAGGGATTGGGGCAGGTGGGGGGCGGGTTTGAAAATATGTATTTTAATCTCCCTTTTTTAGAAAAAAGAAAAAAAACCACTACATTTTTGCTCTTTGAACCGGCTTCTGTCTTTTCTCTCTCTCTCTCTCTCTCTCTGAATTCCTCTTCTTCGTCAGACGCTATCCTGATTTTGGACATGAGTGTTTTAAAGGATGATGATGATTTAAACGATGATGTTGTATCCAAACCCAGCCCCTAGGTTCTTCAGAAGGGGTGTCCATCTCTTCCATTCCCTGCTTAATTGTACACTGGATAATGATTTGTTTTTTTCAGATGAGCACTCCTCTCCCAAAGTCCTGGTAAGACTCTGCGCTAAGGAAAAACTTCCTAACCGTTCGAGCAGTACGACAGGAACCCGTGACCTCAGGAGGCGGTGGTGAGCGCTCCAACGCTAATGAAAATGGGACCCCCTTTGGTCTGATTGGCTTGGATTTGGGATTCCTGCCTTTGGCGGATGGGGTTGGACCGGATGGCCTTATGGGCCCCCCATCCAACTCCATGATCCTATAAGAGGGGCCCATCTCTGCCACGCTCCTCACTGCAAAACTGACGTGAACTTCATTGCCCCCTCCCTCGGCAAAAAGAATTATTTTTCTGTCCAACATTCTTTTCCTCTCAAATGCACTGGAAAGGATGTGTTGGGACAGCTGATCCCCAGAGCAGGAAGGAATGCGGGCCTGTGTTATTTTTGGGCAAGGCGGCTCCAAAGGGTTTCTACAACCAGCTCAGCCTGGGTCGAAGGGCAATGCCAAATCTCATTGTGAAATTCTGTTCCCGATTCAAGCGGCGGTTCTCGACCGGTGGGCTGTGTCCCACACAACCATACAGAGAATCATAGAAGGGCGGCGTTCGAAGGGGAACCCAGAAGGTCATCCAGTCCAACCCCTTGCTCAAGGCAGGGACCCAAATCCGACCAACGGGGGTCCCGTTTTCTCAAGTGTTGGGAGCGCTCACCCCCTCCCTAGGTCACGGGGTCCTGTCGTCGTACTGCTCTAAGAGTTGGGAAGTTTTTCCTGAGATTCAGCCAAAACCCAGCTTCCTGTCCCTCGAGTCCACCATGATGAGTCCTGAACTCAGGGAGGATGGAGGACAGATGATGGGCACAGCCATCGCCCTGGGAAGGCGGCTTTGACTGGTGTGGCGCAGAGCTCAAACGCTGGGCCAGCCCTATGAACCCCCTTCACCCCATTGCTTTTCCGCTCAAAGCAAATCAGATTTCCCACCCGTTCTCTCCCCTTTCCCGGAGCCTCGCTCTCTTGCGCTTCCTCGAACCAGTTCGTCAACCTGCTTGTGCCACATAGCAAAAGGCAGCATTCGAATGGAGGGCAGAGGCCCAGTTTTTTGTTTGTTTTCCCTCATTGGCCTAGGATTTTTCTTTTCCTATTTTTCAACTGGGGAATAAGTGAATCCGTGGATAAGTGATCCCGTGGATATGGGAGTTCTTCTGTCCTGGGTCTCATGACCCAACCGATTGTAACTAATGACTTCGAAGCTCAAGGCCTGCAGCTTTTCTGCCATTGTGACGTTTTGTGTTGTAATGGAAATCGCGAGGGAGACTATGCAGAGCTCATTTCACACCCCCGGCCGAAACCTGTCAAACGCTATTAGGAAATCCCGCAAACCCCCTTTTTGGGTCCCAAAAACACTTGGGGGGGGGTTGGGAACTGAGATGCAGGTTGAAAAGTTGACTTGGTAACTAAGAGCCATTGGCCTCCAACCAGACCTGTTCCTGGTGGAGAGCCAATCTGTCCCTCACCTTCATTTCTCCTTCCTGATCAGGTAGGGGGATTTTGGGGTGGGGGTGGGTGGGAGAAGGACACCCGAATTATAGAATTTCTGCATTTCCTCCTTCCTCCGGTGATTCAAATGAGCTCAACAGGGCAGTCTCCCTGCCAGAGAAGTGATGGATGGCCGTTTTGCCCCCAGAGCCGTTAAGCCAACCTGGCGTCCGAACCTTTGCAGCTGTCAAGGCGAATCTGGGCCAGAAATGAACGGCTCGGGGGCCCCTCCACCCAGCCACTTCTTCTGGCAGCGATGCCTAGTGCTGAACCCTCGCCAGCTGTCCCTGAGCCTCGAGGGACCGGGTAAGGAAACGCCTCGGGCGCTGGAATTAAAAAGACGCAGCACGCTGTTGTGTAACAATCTGGAGCATGGTCAACAAACGCAGGGAGCCGTGAACCCTCTGAGAGTCGGGGCTGTGTAGGAATTATAAAGATCGGGAAGTCGGTCTCCACCCTGAGCCGAGGGGGGAGACTAGAAACGGTGGCGCTCACACAGAGTCTGCAAATTAACCCAGTCCCCGCGGACATATCATTCTGCATAATTCATTACAATTTTGGGGGGTGGGGGTGGGAAATGGCTATAGAAACCTTTCCATCCCTTCCCACACATCTTCCCCGAGCCTCTGGGATTCCTTCTCCCACTTCCACCTTTCCAGGCATGGGAAACAAGATAAAACTGCCAGGTTTTATTTCAAAGAAAGCCGAGCCGCCCCAAAGCGAAGGCCAGCCTAAGCTTGTAGGAAAGCAACCGGTTTCTAGGAATGTGATTTAAAAAGAAAGAAAAATGGGATTTCTTTCACCTTCTGTCGTCCCGACGGTGACGCCCGTAAACATTTCCTTTCTAGAGCATGGACCCACGGTTCTAAACACCGGTTCTCCCTGGAGCACAAAGCGGCCCCAGGACTTTACAGAAAATGAACCGCAGGGGCAGAAGAGAACTGTTCTTGATGCAGAATTAACCTCTCTCCCTTATACAGTTGGACTCCCATATCCACAGGGGACGGGTTACAAGTCTCTCCGCGGATACTGGAAAATGTGGATTGCAGCAAATGCTTTATAAAGCATGGCCAGTTCTAGTAACCACCTTTAGAAATATACATATCTAAAATATATATGTCCTCCTGCCCTAAAGCATCATGAGGCTAACTCTCATCTCCTGCCTGCCTGGCTTGAGGTCAGATCCCGTCCCTTCTCTCCAGCCACTTTCGGCTTCTCTTGCTGATGATGCCGCCGGCGGACCCGTTTTTGAAGCTTCCGCCGGAGCAGGAGCTGTCGCCTGTCTTCCAGTGTCTGCCGGACTTGGGTGCGAAACTGCACATTCTTCTTCCGGATCTTGGCCAGCTCTGCCTTCCGCTGCTCCTCCAGGTCAGGATCCTGGCCGGGAAGGGAGAGAGAAAGAGAGACTGGAGAGCAGCAGAAGACGCTCTCAAGTTTTGCCTAGCAAAGGAGCGCTGCCCACCAGCCCTCGGGACCCTGGCGTGCCTCTTGAACGAGGGCTGGTACTCCCTGATGCCCTGAAAAGAAGCCCAAGACTCGTCTCATGCAGTAAGACCCCTTGTATGTGCGCGGGGGGGGGGACCCCTGCATTCCCACAGTTCGCTTCGGGGCAGAAAAACCTCCGTCCACCCCTCCTGTCAGTCCTCGTACCTTTCCTTCAAGAATCATCTGTTTCCGTTTGTTTATTTCCTTCTTCTCGTCAAAATCAGTTCCCTCCAGTTTCTGGAAGAGGATTGAAAACACACAGAGCAATTGAACCCGTCTTTCTGTGACAGTGGAAGGAGGCCCTGCTCCGTGGTCACTTGGTGACCGGGAGGCAGTTCTCCCCCGGACATCAGACAAGACTCTCCCGGGCCCCCCCATCCTGCTGACGCCTTCACTTACAATCTCGCATTCTCGGCGCACCACGTTGACCTGGGTGAGGATGCTCAGCACCGCCTGCTCCTCCGCAGAGAATTCCTGAAGCTTCATTTCTGAAAGGCAGGAATGCAAGTGGGAATCTTGAGGACTACAACCTTAGCTTCCAAGCAGGGGCGAGTCCCATTTCAGGAGCCAGTTCCCCACCCAGCTGAAGGCTCCCAGGAGCAGAAAAGGGTGGATTTGGCAACTGGACCTTTTTGGTTTTTTGGCTGGCCATTTCCCGAGGCTCGCCGCACTTCTAAAAGGGGACCCCCCCAACCCCCCCAACTTACTGATCTGCTCCTCAATGGCATGGACCAGATGGATGTCGTACTGGGTCACCAGCGTGATGGCGATGCCGTGACGGCCTGGTAAGAAGAGCAAGGAGAACATTCGTGGCCCAGAAGCAACCACCAATTCGGATTTCCCCCCCTTCCCGCCCCATTTAGACTGCGAGGCTAGCCAGCGGTTTGTGGTAAAAAGACTGGAATCCACTCATGAAGAACTGGGATAGGAATGTTACTACTAAAAAGATAATGAAGGAGCGAGGAGGTTCAAGAGAATCTCATTTGATGGATAAATAAGAACATAACCCCATATCCGTAGGGGATGAGTTCCCACAGATAGTAAAAAACCCAGATTATAACTAATGCTATTATGATAGTGAACGCTATCCATCCCATGGTCTCTGGCTCCTTTTAGCGGCCGATCTGTATTTCTAGGATTATTCTTTTCAAATTTTGTAACGTTTTCAGAACGTGGAATCAGCAGGATTTTTTTTTTAATGCTATGCTTCGAGGTCATGTCAGGTGGCCTCTGTGTGCGTCTCTGAACATCTTGGCAGCTGAGACAGCTCTCTGTGCCTTTTCGTAGCAGCCGAGAGAGAGAGAGACCGGGCCTCCGTGTGAATATTGGTCTTTTCCTAGACCATGTCATGAGAGGGAAAGGGGGAAAAATAGGATTTCTAAGATCCCACCAAGCTATGCAACCCAACGCAAGGAAGAGAAACCAGAGAAGGGTCTCTCCGGGGGTCGGCAAGAGTTCACCAACCAGCTTTGAACAAACGGAGGTTGAGCGACAACCTGCAGCGACCGCCTGAAAGCACAAAAGAGGAGGAGAAGACGGCCGACAGTCAAAGGGGGGTGTGTGTTTACCTGCCCGGGCGGTCCGTCCCACTCGGTGGATGTAGATTTTCGGCAGCCCCGGTGTGTTGTGGTTGATGACCACTTGAACGGTCGGGATGTCGAGGCCTCTGAACCGAAAAAGCAAGGGAGGACACAGAGGAGGGGAGAAATGACCCTCAAACTCCAAACCCAAAATCTGCCCTTCCCCTAAAAAAAAAACAACAAACAAAAATAAAAAAACCCGACCAATAGAAAAAAACAAAACAAAACAAAACAAAAAACCTGACCAATAAAAACCCAGCTGAAATCTTAAGCCCCAACCTGGCAGCCACATCCGTCGCGATGAGAATCTTAAAGATGCTGGATTTGAACTTTGCTAGGGCTGCGAAACGTTGTTTCTGGGAGGCAAAAAGGAGAGAGTCAAATGAGACGGTACAGTGGGGGGGCGGGTGAGGGTCACGGAGGGGGGGTTCTTTCTCCGTGGGTTGTTGCCCTCCGACCCCCTCCAGCCCTCGCCGGTGCAGCTCATGTTAAGAGAGGCCTAGAGGAGCCGTCAATGAAAACAGTGACCCCCTTATCCACAGGGGTGGGAGGCCTCCACCTGGTGGACACTTTTATTTATATCTTTGTTCGCTCACCTGCTTCATCATGGAGTGGAGCGCCACGGAAGGGAAGTTGAATTTCTGGAGCATCATGTTCAAGATCTGGCAGTTCCTGCAAAAAAAAGCCACAACCGGCCCGTTCTGTTCCTCTGCGCCCGGAAAAGAGGGCCGACCGGAGAGCGACCTTCGGGGTAGGGAGCCCCGCAGTGACTCATTTAAAAATAAAAATAAAAAGAGAGGGGGAAGCTCGGTCACAGAAGGGTTTTTCCCAAAAGAGAAGGAAGACAAGAACTTACTTGCAAGTGTTGGTGAAGATGATGATGGACCAGTCTTCGTGCTCGTCCTGGAAGGTCTGGACCAGATGGATGAGGTAGGCGTCTTTGACCTTCTCGGGAACTAGCAAGTAGCGCTGGTCCAGCTGCTCCACTGTCCGAACCCTAATTGGGGAGGAAGCCCGTCTCTGGGTTATGCACAACTACAAAGAAGCTCAGAGCCTCCCCTCCCCTTCCACAGACCCACCAGCTCCTCGTGCACTTTTCATCCTGAACAAAGAAGCCCCAGAGACCCCAAAGGCCTTCTCTGGAGGAAGGGAAGAGGTGCCCACTCACTCGGAGGTGGACTCCCAGAAGAACGGCTGGTTCATCGCGATCCGCTTGAGCTCGTTCAGTGTGTCCGTCAGGGTGGCGCTGAAGAGCATTGTCTGGCGGCGGGCGGGCACCGCGGCCAAGATGACCTCCAGGTCTTGGGTGAAATCGGTGCAGCCTTGTTCCAGGAGCCGGTCGGCTTCGTCCAGGACCTGGACCGGAAGCAAGGAAGGGTGAAGGAACGAAGGAAAGAAGGAAAGAAAGAATGAATGAATGAGAAGGAAGAAAAGAAAAAATGAGAAGGAAGGAAAAGGAAAAAGAAGAAAATGAAAGAAAACGAAAGGAAAAAAGGAAGAAAGGAAGGAAAGAAGTGAATGAAGGAAAGAAGGAAGGAAAGAATAGTTTAAGAATGAGAAGGAAGGAAAAGAGGAAGATGAAAGAAAAGCAGGAGATCGCATTTTCCAGAGTCAACCCTTGGTACGACAAACCCACAACGGTCAACAGTGGCTGTTCTCAAGGGCTTCAAGCTGGATTTCTCCCCGTGTGCTTGGACTACAACTCCCAGAAGCCTCCACCCTTAGCTCAGCAGGCCAGGATTGCTGGGAAGTTGTCATGCAAGAACCACGGTTGGGACGCAGTGCGCCTTGAACAGAAAAACATTTCCCCTCTCATTCTGTAGCCCTCCCACCGTCCCAGCAGCTTCCTTTGAAATGGGTCTTGACTGGAACGCGAGACTCATAAACCGAGGCCTGACATTTCCGATGATTCTCACGGGGTCTGTTTTCCCTCGTCTCAAGGGGCTAAAAGCCAAGAGAGTCTCCCTGGCCTCTGCTTATCATCTGAAGAGACATCTGAAGAGGAAGGCGGCGAGAACAGGAGGTAACACACAGCTACTGGATTCTGAGTTCCTTCCCGGAAATCAAAGAAAGAGGTCTGTTCGCCGGACTTACCAAGAACTTGATCTTTTGAAGGCTGAAGGTGTTGGAGCTGCGCAAGTGATCGGCCAGCCGGCCAGGAGTGGCGATGACCACATGAGGTTTTCGGGACAGCTCCAGCGCCTGGCTGACCATATCTGCAAGGCCACCCAGGGCCAGGAGAAACGGGATTTCAGTCCTCAGCGCACTGGGGCTTGCTTTTTCTTTTCAACAAAACACGAGAGCCCTTCCAGCCGCCGGAGGGTGAGCTTCCCGGGGCCGAGGCACGCCGGCGGCATACGTACCCATTCCTCCCACAATGATGCAGTCTTTTAAACCGAGCGGCTTCCCGAGGACGCGGAACTGCTCGGCGATCTGGTAGGCCAGTTCTCTGTTGGGAAAGGAAAGGGGGGGAAATGGATCACCGAGTGGCAAGGGGGTCCCCCTAAGGCCATCCAGTCTAACCCCCTATGCTCAAGGCAGGAACCCCAAATCCAAGCAGATCCGACAGAAGGGGGTCCCGTTTTCTCCAGAGCTGGAGCGCTCATCACCCCCTCCCAAGGTCACGGGTCCCGTCGTCGTACGGCTCTAACCGTTAGGAAGTTTTTTCCTGATCTTCGCCGAAGTCTGGCTTCCTGTCGCTCGAGCCCATTATGACAGGTCTTGCACTCCGAGTTTTCTCATACCTTGTGGGTGTCAGCACGAGGCAGAAAATGCCATATGGGTCTTCGGAAAGTTTCTGCAGGATGGGCAGGACGAAGGCCGCCGTCTTGCCGCTCCCCGTCTTGGCACACCCCATGCAATCGCGACCTGCGGGAGCAAGATGGAGAAGGGGGAGCACCTCAGAGACGTGGGTTTCCTTTCGGGGGATGAGAAGATCAGGGTGCCAAAGGGCTGGCTGGCATGGAGTCCTAGAATGGAACTAACCAGCCTGCCAGGAGTGGGCCTCCCTACAAACCAAAGACGTTCTTGGACTACAACTCCCAGAAATCCTGTCCAGCAGAGCCCACAATGAAGCAGTCTGTGAGCGGTAGTCCAAAGGGGGACCCAAGGTTCCAGAAACACCTCTAGGGTAACCCAGATGTTCTTGGACTGCAACTCCCGGAAATCCTCTCCAGCAAAGCGGATGCTGAAGGCTTCTGGGAGTGGTAGTCCAAGGACAACTGGGGGCCCCAAGGTGGGGAAGGAGTGCTTCAGGTAAGGGCCAGCCCGGTGCTGGAAGGAGGGGCGTGGCTTGAAGTCAGAAGGAGGCGTGGTTTAAAGAGCGAAAGCAGGAGTAGCCCTTAAAGAGCCGAAGGGGGCGTGGCTTAGAGCCCGGAAGAGGGCCTGGCTGAAAAAAAGCACATGGCGCGAGGAGGGGAGCCGAGAAAGCGAGCGAGCTCCTCTGCCCCCCTCTCCATCCGGGGCTTAGATTCTACCGTCCAGGGAGGGGGGGCCGGGGAATGCGGGGAGGCCCCCCCCGGCTCTTACCTTGGAGGGCCGGCGGGATACAGGCCTCCTGCACTGGGGTAGGCTTCCTCAGGCCCACCTGCTCTGCCTGGGCCGCCAACCAGGGCGCTAGGCCCAGGGCGCCGAAGCCGGACATGAAGGGGGGAAAGCAGGGACCAGACAGCTCAGCCCGGCTCGGCTCGCCCTGGACCGAAGGGATTCCGGAGTCTGCGACGCACCGGTGAAGACTTGCCCCGCCTCTGACGTCATCTCCCAGCGCCGCCCTCTTGGGCGGGCGCCCCGAGGCCGCTCGAACTACGCCTCCCGGCATCCCTTGCGGTCGCGAGAGTCCGTGGGTTTATAGAGCTACAAACGTAAGAGGTGGAAGGCGACGAGACTGGCCCTCACATTTCGGGTTCGCTTTTGAGCCCCTTGCAGACGAGGAAGCTTTCGCGTCCCGTCGCATGAATTCCATAGTTTAATTAATGCGTTAATTCATGAGGCGGGGCCGTGACCGGACCTCCTTTGGAGAGACGGTGGAGGGCGGCGGTTAGAGCTCTGGGCTGGGTCATGGGGGAACCGACCCTCGCCATTCTCCTTCCCACTCTTGAGTTCCCATGTGGTGTTGAATTTTTTTGGACTACAGTTCCCAGAAACCTTCGCCACTCTTCGTTGTCGTCCAAGGAAATCTCGGAAGTGCGGATCTCGAACGGTCCGAAGGGAAAAACCCTGGAGAAGGGTTAGAAGCCTGGAACAGGAATGCGCATGCGCGCACGGGACGCTCGGGCAGTCCTTCCCCACAGCCGGCGGCTTCTCCTTGCCAAGAGGCCACCTCCTGGCCGTGTAACGCGCGTTCATTCGCTAGAGTGGTAGCGCATGCGCACCCCTCCAGCGGCTGGCCCCCGGCGCATGCGTGTCGCTTCCTGGGCGCCCGCCGTTGCCCTGGCGACGGGCCCGTGAGGGCAGTCAGGTCTCCTCGGAGGTCTCAGGAAGAAGAGGAGGATGGAGAGGATGAAGAAGATGAGGAAGATGCTGGGCCTGGGGAGGAAGAAGAAGGCGCGCCAGGAGGAGGAGGGAGCCCCCCCGCCGCCGGAGCCCCAGTCCCGGAGCGGGGCCGCCACCGCCGGGGCCTACCGGGTGCGGAGCCGGGAGCTGGGCCCGCTGCATCGGGCGGCGGCCGAAGGGGACTTGGGCCGGCTCCGGCAGCTCCTGACCCAGAAGCAGGACCCGGACCAGCGGGACCGAGGCGGCCGGTGAGGAAGGGAGGGGCGGTCGGTCGGTCGGTGGGGGAGAAGGAGAAGGGAGGAGGCCGCGTTCCCCACGGACACGCGTCTCGACCCACATTCACACGCACACACACACGGGGTTGGACACACGTGGGAATGAAGGGGAAGCAAGGTCGACCCGGAGGGAGCCCAGCATTGGCTTCCTAGCCAGCCCCTCATTTCTTAATCCTCTAGTCTTTCTGTATATATAGAACAGAGGATTAAGAAAGGGTGTCATATATATTCTATATACGTATGGAGTATAGGGTTATATATATACACCCCTGCGTGAAATGACTCGCCCCTTGGGTCTGCCAAAGTCTTGGGTCCGAGTCCCGAGTTCAAGTCTGTGAGTCCGAAGGCCAAGCCCGAGTCCCTATTAAAAACAAACTCCCCCCCCCCAAGAAGAAAGGTAAGGGGGTGGCTGGACTCTTGAGTAGCACATTATGTTCGAGTTTCACTGGTGCCTGCTGGACTCCCGAACCATTTGATCCTGTGGATTGTGGGGGTCACATAAAACGAGTGGTTTTATAACCTCACTCTGAGGACATGGATGTGATCCACAAAATATAATAGAGCAGCTAGTCATCTGTCGTGCCACCATCTCCCCCTCCCCTGTATTTTTATGTTTGCTTTCTGTTTCTTGTCTGAAATGCTGCCTTATGAGGGAGGCAATCCAGGCTCAGTCAGTGGCAGCCTTGACGAGGAGGAGGATTCCTGCACGTCTTTAGATGTCACGCTGTTGGGATCCGTCCTGTGGCAAAGAGGACACGTGGGGGGTGCGCTTGCTTGGTGTGACCTCTTATGCCCGTCTGGTTTGCACGAGGGAAGGGATTGGGGTCAACACGGGCTGCTGCTGCTGCTAGCCCTGAATGGATTACAGGGAAAGAGTTATCGCCTTCCATGTCTGCAATGCTTTTTTTACCTCTGTTGTCTCGAACCTGAGGGCTACCTGGCCTTTATTGACATTGAAGTGCAGGTGGGGATTATCCCGCCTTATCCTTTTAGTGGCCTTGGGAGGAGGTCGTTTAAGCTGGCCAATATGAGGATAGTTCATAGGTTACTTTACAAGTCATCCACAAAGCTCTCTGGGTAACCTGACTTGGCCTGACTGGGGGAAAACATAAGCTTGTGTCCCCATGGACAAAAGAAAAAGCTGAAAGAAAAAGCCAGCATTACTTTGATTTTTGCACTGACCAAATCTGTTGCAATGTTTTATCCAGAACTCCTTTGCATCTGGCCTGCGCAAATGGCTGCACTGAGATTGTGGCTCTCTTAGTCGACCACAAATGCCAGCTAAATATCTACGACGGTGACAAGAGGTCTCCGCTAATGAAGGTATGTATGAAAATTAAGTCTCATTGATTAATAGTCTTGAAATATCGTTACACCAGCTTTCTTCTTAAAAGGACCCGAGGCGGTTTGCTCCACACCATGACAAGCGATTTAAAACATCTTATGTGCCATTAAACTGTGACAATGTTACTTATTTGCATGTATGATATTGTTCATTTCATTTTCCTTAAATCGTTCAGGCTGTACAGTGTCAGCAAGAATTGTGCGCCATTTACCTGCTTGAGCACGGAGCAGATCCTAATTTTGTTGACGTCTACAGTAATACTGCCCTCCACTTTGCTGCCTTGAATTCCAGCATATCGATAGCCAAACATCTGCTCGATCATAACGCCAACATTGAAGCACAGAATACGGTACAGCACGATGACTTTTAACGTCCTTTGAACCTGGTCAAAATATTCTTGCTTTGGCATCTTTCATTGGGATGTTGACCTAGATTTTGAAAGAAAGATCTAACTTCAAGCATGAGCCATGTTTCTTAGTATAGTTCGGCCAGAAATTCTGGCTTGAAAGCCAAGATGTGGAAGAGCTGTTTAATGTTCCTTTTTCCGGGTGGAAATAACCAGGAGAGGGCAAAAACATCCACACGCGTTGAAGGACGGCCAAGAAACCTCCAGTTTCCAAGCTGACTGAAAAATGCTTTCTGAATAACCAACTTCCGTGATCAACACCAATACTTTCTTTAAAAACACAGGTCAGAATCCTGTTGCTTCCTGCAGGGCAAATGGTGTAGCTTCTTGCCAACTGTTAACGAGTCCCTGCTTCAGTTTTCACCTGTGTGCCAAGCCAGCAGATTTGAGCACCCCAGACCCCTAAGTGACCCCTAAGTGGGGGGCTTGTTGATTTGCCAGCGAGGAGTCCTCAGAAGCTATGCCACTTGCCTTCTGCAAGCTGAATTCAGCAACAGCGTCTGGGCTGCTTCCTTGTCCTGAAATGGAGGGGAGTTACTTTGATAATGTATTGTGGTCCTTATTCGTGCTTTTGAGACTGTTAGGTACTGTATATTTCTGCTCTTCAGACAGCTGAATGTATTTCATGACTTTTAAAAAAACAGTTTGTGATCTGCAAGATAGCTTTTTCCCGAGGTCAAGGATATGGGAACATTTTGATTTATTGCAGCTTGTGAATCAAATGTTGTTTAGAGTCATTACAACTTGGAAGCAACTTGACAGTCTATAACAGCATATAAGTATTACTTTCCTGAACTTCAGATTGGGTGTAGAACTTGTCTTTTATTGTTCTTAGTGAGTTATTTTTTTCTTTGAAAAAAAGGGGCTCATAAATAAGGGTTTTTTTCATCATCTTATTTTACCTGTTCTGTGGAAAAATAGGAAAATTCATGTCTCATCTTTATACCTTGTTTATTTTTATGCTTGCAGGATGGGAGCACACCCCTGATTGTTGCGGTAGTTGAAAATAACCGAGAAATGGTAGAGTTTCTTCTCAAAAAAGGAGCTTCGGTGCATGCAACTGATAATGCAGGAAGGTACAGTCTGACTCCTTTGGCTGATGCCTCCTTCATAATTTGAGGACTGTAGCACAGTAGGACTCCCTTATCTACAGGATTGGTATCCACGGATTTACTTATCCACAGCCTGAAAAAATATAAAATATTAGAAAAAAGAGAGGGAGCCAGAGACCATGCTATGTATAGCATTCACTATTATAATAATGTTCACTATCATCTGCATTTTCCACTTGGGGGTGCTTTGGGACTGATCACCCCACAGATATGGGGGTGCTGCTTAATATTGGACGATTATGAAAATGAACAGAAATTGATGGCCGTTGAACCCAGAAGTATTAAAATAGCAGAAATAAACAATGTGCCGTCATGAAATGGTTCCGTGTTCTGTTTTCTTCTCTTTTCAGAACTCCTCTCCTGATCGCTACCTCCAATAAGAAGCGCGATTTGACCCATGTTCTCTTGTCTTATGGTTCGGACGTATCCCACAAAGACGACAGCGGATGGTCAGCCCAGGACTACGCGATGCTTAGCGATGATCCTATGTAAGGTTTTATTCCCCTCCAAAACGGTAGAAGATGATTTGTCAGCCTGGAATTCTCAGAAGCCTTCCTAATTTTGTCTCTCTGAGTGCCTTTAAGCCAATAAACGGTTTATTAACGCCGACTAGGAAACCCAAGATGCTCAGATTTATTGGATGGCCTGGGAGAGGTTATTCATAGTGAGCCAAAGATCTCTCCACATGAAGGTGGGGTCTCCGTCGCTGAGCTGATCAGTTATTCTGATTTGGGTGCACATTAAATAAAAAATCTTGACCAGATCTTTTAGCCATGATTTTTCTCTCTTTCTCTCTCTTTGCCGTTAGCCTTCTTCAATATATCGCTGAATATTCCAAGCAGAAAAATGGATCAGGGAAGTCTGATGACCAGAACGTCTTCTCGGTATTGAACGTTCCAGACAGAACTGGAGATGCCGGTATTACCTTAGGCGCACCTGCGACAAATATAGAAGGTATGGCTTTTCGTAGCAAGAAGGCGAAGAATCTCGTGCTGTGCAGGACCGGATAAGTGATCTGTTTGCAGAAGCTGCTTGTGCCTTTAGTGGCAAAAGCGAGCCAAGGAATCACAGAATAAATGAGTTGGAAGGAGGACCTCTGAGGCCATCTAGTCAAAAAAAAAAACCTCAAGGCAGGAACCCAAATCCAAGTAGCTCAGACCAATGGGGGTCCAGTTTTCTCTTGAAGGCCCCCAGCATGGGAGCGCACCAATGGGGGTCCAGTTTTCTCTTGAAGGACCCCAGCATGGGAGCGTTCCCAAGGTCTTAGTTCCTGTTGCATGCTGCTCTAACAGTTAAGAAGTTTTTCTGTTATCTTCAGCCGAAATCTGGATTCTTGTTGCTTGAGCCCATTCTGATGAATCCTGCCCTCTGGGAAACTCAAGGACAGATCCTGCCCCTCCTGTGGAGGACAACCTTTCAAGTCTCCCCTCTGTCTTCTTCTCCCAAGGCCAAAACTGCCCATTTCTTGCCATCTTTCCTCATAGGAAACGTGCAAGTTCTCTTCTATGTATTAGTATAGTAAGGCACACGCTAATTGCAAGCGTTATTGCAATAATTGTTGTCATAGTCATCCATGGCCCAGTATTAGAGGGAGGGAAGCGCCTTGTTTCTATATTTCGAATGCATCATTCCTGAGGACTGGTGGAGAAATCTCGTGCTTACCTGGAAGAGCTCTCAATAGCTCCCAAGTTTTGGAAGAAGGGAGAAAAAAGTATTATCTACCAATATGGGGTCCTGGTGATCCCCAAATGGAAGCCCAAATAATTTGATTTGATCTCCTCGCACTCCATTTTGGTGTTCTGCTTCTGGCAACCCTCAATATTGCAAGAGAGAGGAAAAATACCTCATTTGTGGGGGTTGTTTGTCCTCCTTGATCTCAGTATATGGTTTTTCATTCCCCAATTAACTTGTTACTCGAGCCTCCTGTGCTTTTGCATTTGTATTCAGTAGGGCCCCCTCTCCGTGGAATCAGTAACCGCTGATTCTCTTATCCGCAGCCAGAAAATAGTAAAAGAAAAATCCTAGGATTATATCATTCTAAAGATGATGTTGCCGGAACTGGCCACTAGAGAGAGCCAGAGACCATGCCCTGTATCACGTTTGCTATTATCCATGTTTTTCAGCATCCGCGGGGGGGGCTCAGAACCGATCCCCCGCGGATACAAGGGTGCCTACTGTATTCGTACACGTTTCTGAATCTGCTCTTTTTATTTGTTCATTGCCTACCTTGTCCCAACCAGACAGCGAAGTGCATCGGTCACTCAGCCAGGCTGCCGGAGGTTCAGGGCAAGGTATTACTCATCTTCGAGAGTGAAATCTAGAATAACTTGTTTTAGAGGCTTCTGTATTTGTGGGGCGAACCTGCTGCGGTCTGCAGGGTCTTGCTTTTAGGAATGTCCGTAGTATGTTATTTGATTTGTTAGAGAGGCTACTTGGTGTGATCAGATGCGGTGGGTCAGTTCAAGTGGCGGACAGGGTGCAGATTAATGCAAAGGGTTTAACCTTTTCTTTATGGGGCCTTTCCCCCCAAATACGACTCGCCTCTTACCTGAGCGGCTGGTTCTTCTACAAGAGAAGCTGCTATAGCTGTCCTTTTGGGGGGGGGGTGAGGTAGACGTCGGCAGGGAAAGAAATTACATGAACGCCTTCCCCCTGTTCTGCCACCATTTCCATTTTTCTGATCAGTCCGTACAATGTCTCTTGAACCCAAAATGTATTTTGGCTGAAATAATTTCTGTGTCGATTTTTCCCCCCTTTGACTTTTGCTTTTCCCTCTCTTGCGTTTCTGTGGGAAACAGTCCTTGAGGATCATTCTTCTGGAGATTCAGTAAGGTAAGATTTAAAAACCAGTAGCCATGGACGGATGTCAGTTGAACCGGAAAGAAGTTTTATTCTTTTTTTTTTCTTTTAACGTTGAAGAGATTCTGGGAAAACGGACGATACCTGGCCGTCTTCAGAAGAGGAAGAACTTGATTTCAGTGTTAAGGTGAAGTTTAGAGCTGCAAAGAGTGTGGATTTGCGTGAGGGTGGTGTTGCTTTAATATGGCTAAGGCCTGTTACGGGGACAGATAGATCCAGCAGGATTGTTATTTTGTAATATTTCCAGACTGTGGATAAGTGAATCAGTGCCTACAGATCCCGCGGATAAGGGGGTCCTCCCTCAAGGGAATGTGGAAGAAAGGCTCAGTGTGGGGGCTTCTGGTGTTTTCCTGCTTCTGGCGTTCAAGGCTTTGCTGTGAGTTTCTGCTAGCTTTTTCCACTTGATAAGGAGGTTTAAACATTTTGCCCCAGCGTAGCACAGTGGTGACAGTATTTGGCTGCGATTCGGAAAACACAACAGCGAGGCTTCCCGGGTTACCTTCAGACTTTTGCCGTCTCTCAGCCTAGGCGATTTCAGACATTGGATCAGAAATGAGGGATGAAAACAGGCGTCAGACCAAGTTCAAACGTTGTTCTTACTGTTCAATCTTGACCCTCTTTAAATGTTTGCTTTTAGAAACCGCAGAAACCCAGTTTGGCTCGGCTAATGAGCGTCTCTCAGCAATTCAAGACAAATGGTAAGTGGCTTTGAGAAAACAGACCATGCCCTACGGCTCGCTTACCTGTTTATTTTAAAAAGCTTGACTTTTTCTTCTGTGCTTTGTGTGTGTGTGTATGTGTGTTTTGTGTAGTAGACGAGAAAAGTAGCCTTTTCCGATCAGAACTTGTAGTGGACTCACAACGGAATAGCTCAATTTCGGACGCCGGAGGTGTCAATGAATCCTTTTCTAGGCCCCTGTTCCACGTCCAGTCCTTCCCTCAACCTGCCCATTCCTCGCCTGGTTCCTTTTCTACACAGTGCCAGATGGCGTCTCGCTTAAGCCCTAAGCAGGTAATTTTCTTGATTCGTAAATTTCAGTCATACGTCTTACTACACAAATGTATTTTATACCTTCCTTCCCTCCCCCCCCAATATGATTTTGTGAAGGCAGTGAAAATGAAAACCGTCAGTCATTAGAAGGCACCCTTAATACAGGACTTCGGGAAAGTGTGGATCCTGATCAGCAGGAAGGAGATGATTCGAGCAATTCGTCTGCAAACAATGAAGAGGCAGAATTTGATGAAGAGGAGGAAGAGGAGGAGGAGGAGGGGGTGGGAGAAGAGGATGCGATCACTGGACACTCCTAGCATTTAAGGAATTCCCTTTTCTAATGACGTCCTCTGTACAGCTTGACTTGCAGTGAGGGTTAATGACAGGCAACGGATAACAAATCCAAAACAATCTGAGATAATCCTGTTTAGGTGATCCCATTGTGTTGGAGGAAGAAGAACAGGAGAATTTCAGTGAAGAAAACGAAGAGGAGAACTGGCAAAAAAGTCCTGTGAAGATAGAAAATGGTGTGGAGGAGGCTTTTAAGGAAGCGGACGAAAGTTTTGCAGGTCACGAATGTAAGGAGAAAGGAGATCTTGGCAGCTGTAGGAAAGAAATGCGGGACATAGAGAAGGAAGAAACGCAGGAGGCAGGTGACGGGCCCGCGTCTTTCGTTGCCGGGCATTACGAATGTCCAGATGAAAATGCAGCCGTTTCCAAGGCTAACGAGGAGCTGTCCAGTCAATCATTGGGAAAGGGAGATGGTTACGGACAGGCCGATGAGTATGAAAGTTCAAGCGGCCTCAGAGACCCTGAGAGTCAGGACAGAATGGCTCAGGAGGGGTTTCACAGAAAGGCGGTTTCTTCCGTGGAGATTTCCAGAACAACCGCACTAGCAGAGGCGGGACTTCCCTATGCCGGAAGCAGCCATCCTAACCGGAGGGGGCCTGCCAATCTGGGTGCTGTCGTTGAAAACGGCGATTGCCCTCATCCCGGGGCTGAGTGCGAAGAGTGTCGATTTGTACAACAGCATTCAGAGGGTCCCAATTGGGTGGATGATCCAAAGAGCACCGAAGAACCAGAATCAGCTCTAGAAGAACCGGAGGAAGCGACATCTGAGCCACCGCTAGAGAAAAGTGAAAAGAATGAGAAAGAAGAGCCGAAAGCTTTTCAACCAGATACCAGCGTAAGTTGAGTCCAGTCTGGTGGAAGAATGGTGGAGTCCATAAAGGGGACTAAAAGGTGAAAATTAAGTTTAGACTTGGGGTAAAACATAAGTGAAAGAATGGTAAAATCTCTGCTTGATATACCATACATAATTACTGGTAGGACGCCGGTTGTATTGTGCCACTTTGATGCTAAAATAGTTTTTGCTAGCTACCAATTTCTTTCCTTGCTCAATCTGGGGTTTCTAAAGTTCTCGGTGACTTGAGGCTAGAATATTTTCAGGACCGCCTTGTCCAGAGCGGACTCCCTCAGTCTTTAAGACACATTTCCACACTCTTTGTCAGGATTACAATTATTTATATGAAATTAAGTGTGAATCACTTTTAAGGGTTTACATAGCATGCCTTCCGTCTCCCTCTAGTACCCAGTTCTGAAGACTTCGTCTTTAGAAATCTATATTTCTAGAATTTTTTCTTTTCATATTTGTAGTATTTTCAGATTGTGGGAAAGGGAGTCAGCAGGTACTGATTCCCGCAGATACAAGGGTCCTGCTGTGTTTAGTGTTCTGTTGAATCAGTGATGCATTTCAGTTAGAAAAGCATTTTTAGTCTCACAAGTGAGAAGGGAGAGCTGCTTACAGGCCAGTCCTATATGTCTACTCAGAAGTAAGTTCTGTTGAGCTTGCTAGAGTTTGCTGCTAAGGGAGCTAGTATATTTGTTTATTTATTTAAAATATTTATGTCCCACCTTTCTCCCCGAAAGGATCCCAAGGTGGCTCTCTAGAACTGGCCTATACTGTGTACAGAATGTGCCTGAAGGCAGATGAGGAAGCTGCATTAAAATTGCCGTATGAACGATGAACGTGATGCTTTATCTTAGGAAGGCTCTTTCGAAGAGTTTAAAATATTTATGTCCCACCTTTCTCCCTGAAAGGGAGACTGATCAGTCTCTAGAACTGGCCTATACTGTGTACCGAATGTGCCTGAAGGCAGATGAGGAAGTTGCATTAAAATTGCTGTATGAATGATGAATGTGATGCTTTATCTTAGGAAGGCTCTTTTGAAGAGGAAGAGGATGAAGAGGAGGAGGAGGAGGAAGAAGATGGAAAAAATCCAAGTTTCATGGCTAAAAACCTGAACTGCCATGCAATCTCCCTCAACCAGATTTCCTCGCAAGACGACAGTGTTCAAAAGGGTAGGGCTGTTTCGTTTTGCTCAGTTTATAGCACAAATTACTTGATTCAGTTTCTCTGTGGGACATTTCATCTCTGGCGACTTTGGCAAACCGTCGGCAAGTATCAGAAGCCAGCAGAGACCGTTCTCCGGGTGAACTTCTTTCTCATAATGCAGTCCTTTGCATTTTGAATCAGATGTAAATCCTGCAGTTGGCGGTTTGGGTCCTGTCGTCCTCAACGCCAGGACTGGAGATCAGCCGTTCGTGCCGGTTCGTCCTTTGGACGAACGGATGTTTGGCAGTTCTAGCCCCGCCTCCTCTGGTGTGCAAGTGCCCATTTAGAGGCAGCGCCCCGGCCCCGCCTCCTCCTCTGAGTGGGTCCCCACCGGAGGAGAAGATGGGCCACAGAATCCGGAGTGCCTGCGCAGCCACTGTGGGCCCGATCTGTGCCGAACCAGGGGAAGTGCCCATCCCTACCCAGGTCTGCCGTTTGCATTAGGACTGTCATAATCTGTTTGGGGTTATTTTGTGCCAGGATGAGCATTGAATATTCTGTCGAAAAGGTTCATCCATCAATCCTTAATTTTGTAGCTTCGTTGAGATTAGGAGCGGATGAAGAGGAGGACAAGGAGAAGGCCCCAGAATCTCCCTGGGATTCGGAGGTAGGTTACTTTTTCCGATCACCATGTGGTGAGAAATTTGGAGAAGACTCTTGATTTCTTCCTTAACGCTCTCCCCGGTTTCCTTATGATCATCAGCTGGATGTTTTGCAAGTTGTACTTCTCTCGGCTCTGCAAATGAGAGATTGAAGTGTCATCGAAGTTTTATTTCCACTTTGTATAAATAACTTTTGTTTCTTTTTCGTCAGACGCTTGAGGTTGACAAAGATCTGCATCCGTCTTGTGGTTTGTTTCCAACAGGGTGTATCTGAAAGTCCCAGAAAGCCGGCAGTGGATTCCTCACCCGCCTCTCCTGCCAAAATCAAGACCCTGATGCCTGCCGTTGCAGAAGAGCCATGTGATCGTAAGTCTTTCATTGACACGCAAGTAAATGTTAAAACCATGCTATCCAGGGTCCCCCCCCTCCAGTATCCCATTATTCATGCTACTGGTTTTGCAGGCCCTTGTGCAGAAGAGGGCTCAAGGGGGTGGGCAGAATGGTTGTCCAGTCACCCTCGCACGATGGGGTGAGCAGTCAGGAGTCTCACGACAGAAATCTTCTCCAAAGTGTTTGGTGCGAGAAAGAGCTGCAGGAAACGTGGCTCGTTTTTAAGTGTGCAATTAATTCCCCTCTCTTTTATTCTTAGGGAGCTCGGCCAATGCGAAGGTAAGTACAGAACAGGAAAATGGGTGGGTGTGTTAATTTAAAGAGGGCACGCCGTGCTTTGGGGTGAGATCTCTCTTGCAGGTTGCTTTCAATGTATTCCTGCTGGTACTCTTATGTTCTCTGTGACCTCCTATTCTTTTGGGTTATTTCAGAAAACAGCATTTAAGAAACTTATACAAAGTTACACCTCCCTGCTTCTTACTCAGGAAGGTGCACTGACCATTTTTAGAATGCGGTTGAAATTTTACAGACTTGAGTTTGTACTGGGAGGGGGGCTCCTTTTTGGCTTTTTTTAAACAATTGGCAAATACAGGAGTTGTCTTCCTTATCCTCAGGATCAGTATCCATTGATTCACTTATCTATGGGCCTGAAAATATTTTTTTAAAAATGCTAAAAATAGATATTTCTAAAGATGAGTTTACCAGAACTGGTCACGAGACGGCATCAGAGACCAGGTTATGTCCAATAGGGAACCATATCCACAGGGGATCTGTTCCAAGCTCCCCTGCAGATTCTGAAAAACGCAAATTATAGCAAATGCTATGTTAATAGTGAACGCTATATGTCACATCGCCTCTGGCAACCTCTCATGGCCGGTTTTGGTAACTTCATGTAAAGACACCAGAACTGGTCACGAGACGGCATCAGAGACCAGGTTATGTCCAATAGGGAACCATATCCACAGGGGATCTGTTCCAAGCTCCCCTGCAGATTCTGAAAAACGCAAATTATAGCAAATGCTATGTTAATAGTGAACGCTATATGTCACATCGCCTCTGGCAACCTCTCATGGCCGGTTTTGGTAACTTCATTTAAAGAAATATATATTTTTAGCATTTTTCTTTTAATATTTTCAGACCGTAGGTTAGTGAATCAGCGGATACCGATTCCACAGATCTGGGGTCCTCCTTTGTAGAATTCTCTTAGAGCAATGCGCTTCCACAGTGTCATTGCCAGAATCAAGAGCAGGCATTTGAATCAGATGCTGAATTTTCAGCTAACCTCCAGGAGGGACCGCCATCCGGATTCAGCCTTTCTTGCCTTTGCTTTATGGATTTGCCTTTCTTTTGGGTTTGCTCGGCGCCGGCGCCCGAGGCCACTTTCCCTGGAGAAGCAAAGGTCAGAACCTTGCCTGTCAAGCTGCAGAGGGAGATTGCCCCTTAAAATACAGAATTCACTCCAGGATGCCTGTTCATAACAGACATTCTCTGTGAAATGTCCAGTTTCATTGAGCTGTGCTTGGTTTTCTTTTTATTCTGACAGCCAGAAATGGCTAAAATGAATTTGGAACACGAGGCTGCTTCCTCTCCTCTTTCGCAGCAAGACCAGACCAGAGGAAAGCAGAAATCAGGTGAAATTTCCAGCAGCGAATTAATTTGGTGGTGGTGGTGAAGGGTTGGGACGTCTTACATTGGACCTCTGCTCACTTATTTTGTCCTTTTCCACCCCTCTTTTCAGACTTAATGGAAGAACTCGGCTTAGATGACGCAGATGACATTGAAGGTTGTGAGCTATTATTATTATTTTTATCCTATGCATGAAAGTTTCAGCACAGCTGACGTTTATGATACAAGTTAATGGGATAACTGTATTTTACGTTATATTACAAAATAATGTGTGTTACATTAAATTATATTTGTAATGTAACATAATACACATTGCAATATATTGCCTTATATTTCCTTACATTGCAAAGGCAAGATCCGTAACAGCTTCTTGTGTTACTTTTCTGAAACAAAGATAGTGTAGCCTCAAAAATTCTGTCTATTCCAATTTTATGGAAGATGTATAAAAAAAGAAGGCATTTATAAAGAAGGTCACAAATTAGAGGCTTCCAAGTATGTATTTTTATTTTGGAGAGCTTGCATTATTTGTTTACAAAGATGAATTTTCAAATACGGTAGGACCCCACCCACCCCCATATCCACAGCGGACGAGTTCTAAGGACCTCTTCCAAGCTCCGTGGATGCTAAAAAAGCGCAGAAGTAACAAATTGTAAACATAGTATTGTCGTTGGCTCCTTCTAGTGGTTAGTGCTGTTAAAAATGCTGCAGAAACAGGCATTTGCGTTCCTTTTTGTCTAATATTTTCAGGTGGAGAGAGGGGTTCTAATGTAATTAAAATTCAGTTTGCCACCTAGCCGTCTGTTGATTTTGAAACGTGTGCACCATAGACTCTGTTTTAGGAACAGAAGTGGACCATTGTGCTTCCTGTGTGTTTTTAATGTCTCCTCCAGATGCATCAGACTGGGATTCTGCCAGCGTTTCTCAGAGTCTCCCCTGCGTCAACACCTTTAACATCTTCTCCTGGGGAGAGTGTAGCACTCCTGCACAATTACCAATGAGTAACGCCAGCCCGAGAACCTCCATTCCTGCGAGAGTGGACGACACCCCTGTTACAGAGACCAGAGAGGCTGCAAAAGGTAGCTGGTACCTTTATATTTTTCACATTATTCAGCCTTGTTTATAAAGCCAAGATAGGTCTGTTCCTGTCCTGTATGATATTTGGCTTTACTTCCTGGTTTAGTGACTGTTCATGGTTTATAGCCCATTCAGTAGCTAGAGATCTCGGGGCAGAGAATAAAATGGCATTGAACACTAAACATTATTTTATAAAATTAAAAAAACACCCTCCATGCCATGGATCAGGGTGCAGACATATGTAGTCCAGTAGATCAGAGCCCAGCAGCTGCACCAGTCGGACATCTGAGGGAAGGACGTGTGACTGTCACTTAAAGCATTTTGAGTGCTGTGGGATCATTGCTCTTTTTATATTGAGAAAGCAGAATATTTTTAATGGACAACTGCAAACATGCAGATGATCTGTTGCAAAAATCTTCATCCAATTTTTTTTTATAGGTCCGTCGTGTAGCAAACAGAATGCGGAAGAATTGGAACATGGTGACGCCAAGGTCTGTAGGTTTGAAAAGTGCCTTCGAACGTTGTTTTTGTCTTGAGCCTTTCCATTCATTCTGCGGTGACCTTGTTTTCAAATTTAAGGCTGTCTTTGCCCATGCTCCTCCTTGTCTCCATTTTATTTCAATTTCCTTGGTCCGTTTAATTGTGCCGCCAACGAACACCTCTGTGGTCTGACTCTTTTTCATAAAAATAAAGATTTTGATGAAGAGATGACCACAAGAGGGAGCCAGAAACCACACTAGGTGGTCTCGTTGTTGGCATACAGAGCCTGGTCTCTGGCTCCCTCGTGCGGCTAGTTCTGGTAATGCATGGTGAAAATACGTACTTTTTTCCTGGATTTTTCCCCTTTTACCATGCTCTGTACAGCGTTTGCTATTATCCACTGTTTTCAGCATCTACAGGGGGGTTGGAACCAATCCCCTGTGGATAATGGGGTCGTATAGTATATGTATAGTTAGCTGAAGAGCACAGTGTGTTCGGTATCCAGCTGTGGATCAGGACTTTGATACGCTATATGTGCCTTCCAGAAGAAGAGCTGGCCTGGGTGGCCTTGGGCAAGCTGCACAACCCTACAGTTGCCCCTAGAAGAAGGGAAAATTAAACTGTTTTTGAGTACTTTCTGCCATGGAAATTCTGGAAATGGGTAACTTACGTTGGAATTGACTCCATGTCATTATTATTAGAGATAGACGTGTATTTATTATACTGGACAAAGGAGGAAATGTATTTCAATCACAATGACGCTATAGCAAAACTGTACTTAACATCTGAAAGCACTATTTATTTGGGGGGGAAATGATACTGTAAAAATTCTTCCATTACTATTAAAAAAAATCTGTGTTACATTTCTGGGCTTGGCCTCTGTTGCAAACCTTGGTTATTGTTTCTTAATTTCTCTTTGTCCGTACTTGCTTGTGTAAGGGTAAAAGTATAATAACTGCACCCAGCTCTCGAGAAAAACTGCCACCTGGAAAACAGAATGGAGAACATTTATGTCTTTACAACGGAAAGAAAACTGGAACAGAAATCGACAAAGCGGAGGATGAAGGCCGGCCCGTTGATGCGACCTTTTGGGAAGAAAGATATGAAAAACTCTGGGTTGCGAAGGAAAAAAGAGAAGTCAAGTCAAATTTTAAGAGCATCACAGCGGAACTGAAGCTGAAGTTTGGTGAAATTGACATCAACCAGACAAAAAGTAGGAGTTCCACGGAAGGGCCATCCCACGATGTTTTCAGCAGCAGGGTTGAAGGAGTAGAAGAATCCCTGCCATCTCATCCGTCTGAAGCCACCATTCGCATTTGGAGAAAGGGTGAAACGGGCCCATTAAAGCCCGTTGTTGCAGGAAAGGATCCGGATGCTGAGAACTCTGTATTATGTCCTCAGGATTCGAAGCTTCTTTGTCCACCAGGCGAGAATCAAAGTGTTGAAGCAAATCAGGAAAGAAGCGATGATCTTTCGCCTGAGGGCAAGGGGTTTACCCGGCCAGGAACAGACAAGAGTGGAGATCATTCGCAAAAGTGTCCTGGTGATTTGCCAGTAGCCGCCGATCAAGAGAGGGTTGCAGACACCATTTTTAGGACGTTTCTGAAACAACGAAAAACCCAAAGCGCAAGCCATCAAGAAACCCTCCCGGATTTTAACGCTGGTGTCCACACGGGTCAGTGTTTAGATCCTGAGCTTGGAAATCGAGGGGAACCTCCTGATAAGGACCCCCGAAAAGAGTGGGACGAGGCGTTAGAACGTGATGTTGCGAGATTTAAGAATGAGGTAGGGATGTTACGGAGAGCGTTCCTGGCTTTGGAGAAGGAAAAGGCCCGGCTCCAGAAAGAGGTAGAGACGTCTCAGTTGCTTTCCATTCTTTGTTCTTTCTTCCTCCTTCACCATCCTGCTCATTTCTGCTCTTCATCATTTCCCGGGAAGCTGCCTTTTCTCGGTTGGCTTTCGACAACGTTTCCGAAGTCAATCGGAACAGAATCCACCCGGCGCATCTTTGATTCCGTTCTGAGCTCAGCGGTGATGTTGAGAACAGAGGGCTCACAAATTTAGTTCTGAGGCTCCAAAGGCTGGCAACGCAATAGGGACCCCGTATCTGCGGGATCGGTATCTGCTGATTCGCGGCTTGGGGATATTAAAAATAAAAAAATTAAAACCATGGAAATGTATATTTCCAAAGACGGCATTATCAGAACTGGCCACTAGAGGAAGCCAGAGACATTGTACATCGTTAGCTATTAAAATAGTGTTTGCTATCATCCACATTTTTCGCTATCCGCAGGGGTGGTCTTGGAAGCGATCCCCTGTGGATATGGGGGGGTGTCCTACTGTATTTCAGATTTTGAATAAGTGCAACGTCCTAAGGAGTGAATTGCACCTGATTATGTACTGGTAATAAATTTAGTAAAAATGTAGATGTGGTTTCTGAACAGAGTATTGACTGATCTTTTCATCCTTGCTGAGTGCCCTTCACTTTGCTGTGTGAAACACTTGCTGTCTTCTCAGATTCATGCTCTTGTTACAACGTTGTGAAATACTTGCATTAAAAATGTGTGTCCTCTTTACACTTAAAATCGTCTGCTGCTAATTCATTTTTCCTGTCACTAATAGGTCGATCCATACCCCCCCAATTACCTCCCATTAGATGCTAATAATTTTTATTAACCTTCAACTTCAGTAATGAATAAGTGCTTTCTTTTCAAGGGCAAACGTGTTTGTTTCTGTTCTGGAGTGTTTAAGGAAAAATAAATTACATCGTTCCTTGTGATGTGTTGATATTTTTATTGGCCGTTGTGACAGAAAGTAAATATCCTCATTGTAGGTGGAAGAGGAAAAAAGGAAGCAAGAGTTGGCAGAAACTAAGAAAGCTGAAAACACGGAAAAAGCGGCTGCAAATGTTGAAGAGAAAATGGAACAAAGGCCCTCAGCAGATGAAAACCACCCTCTTGCAACAAGAGATGAAAGGAAAAGTGCCGTGGGAGAAGACCAAGGAACAGATGTCGTTTCTTCATCAGATGGAGAGGAACTGGTCCCAGTCCCTCATAAGGGGTGAGTATGCACCGTAATGTCACTGTAGCACAATGCAGTAGCATCCCTGTATCCACGGGGGATCGGTCCCAAGCCCTCCCCTCCCCGTCTGCAGCTGCTGAAAAACGCGGATTACAGCAACCCTGAATAGTGAAAATGATATATAGCATGTTCTCTGCTTCCCTCTAGCGGCCCGTGCTGGTAACTTCACCTTTGAGAAATCGATTTCTGGGATTTTTCGTTTAATATTTTCAAATGGTGGAGAAGCGAGTCCGCAGATCTTGTCCTGCGGATAAAGTGGTCCTACTGTAGCAATTGCACCCTTTTTTCTTTTTTCATTCCAGTATGAATTGTAATGTGCGCTTTAAGACTTCTCAGGCGCTTACTGTTGTGCGTAAAGAGGGCCACGATCCAGTGGTTCGTGCCGGTTCGTTTACCAGTCGAACCAGCGTTCGGCCCTTCCTAGCCCCACCTCCTCTGGTGGGCAGCCCCACTCAGAGGCAGCGCCCTGGCTTCCTTGCCCCACCGCCTCCTGGCGCCTTCGCCCGCCCGAGGACAGGGGCTTTGAAGCCCCGGAGACCCTTTCAGACGAGAAACAAACCAGCCCGAACGGCCAAACCAGCATTCCGTGCTCTCATATCATATCACACGATAAGAAAAGTGTCACTAAGAAACTGATGGACGCTGTAGCGCCTATTTCTCTCTTTCACAACCTTGTTAAGTTCAGCAACCATCTCCGGGGATGACACCATAGACATAATTTTGTCGTCCGGGACTCCAATATGGCTTTGTCCCTCATCCATAGAGAATGTCAGCCCCGGCTGTGGACGCCTCCATTGTTCCCTGTTTATGCCTTTTTCAGGCACCGTTGTGCTAAAGATTAACCGACTCGTTTTCTCAAATGCCGTGTTTTTTTCTCTCTTTTGAGGAATAATCCAACTGCCCACGCAAAGGGTCGGAGGAAAAGGGAAAAGAAAAGACGAATTTCAAAGCCGAAATTCGGTCAGCAAACCGTCGACAAGCGACATCAGCCCCAGGACGAGAGCAGTTTGAGTGAAGCGTCTCTGGAGGACGAAAAGTAGGGATACTCGTGGTATTGTTGGTTCTTCGTTCTGTCTAGTGGGACCCCCTTATCCATGGAATCGGTATCTACCGTATGGAAATATTAAAAATGTTAAGAGAAAAATTCCCCCAAATAGTATATTTTTAGTAATGAAATGACCAGCACTGGCTTCTAGAGGGATGTATAGCATTCACTATTGTAAGAGTGTTTGCTTTTATATGCATTTTTCAGCATCCACTGGAGGGCTTCGAACCAATACCCTGTGGATATGGGGTTCCTACTGTCTGTAAAGCATTTCTTCATGTAGAACAAGCCCACGATCTATTCTCTTAAGTATTGTCTCTCCTCACGGGCTGGCGTTCTTGGATATAATCAGCTTTTTCTACGATACCGCAATAAACCATTGCAGGCTGAAAGGGTTGAAGCCGCCGTTGTGGCTGTTTTAGATGATGTTTTGCCCGCTTGGAGGCACAGAGAATGGGTTTTATCCTGTCTCCCTGAGGAGATATGTACACTCAGGTCACCGACTTGTGGTTGACTCAACCTTCCCATCCTTCCGAGGCCGGTAAACAGAGGACCCAGCTCGCTGAGGGCAGGAGCAGGGCAGAGTGTAGCCTGCAGAATTAAATTGGAACACACACACATAGCCCCAAAGAGTGTGTTAAGCTCAGTGGGGCAGGATATAAGCAGCAGGCATTGCTTTGCTTTGTTGGGTCTCTCGTGAGCAGTTAGCCGTCGGGTCCACACTGTGGTTAGGGGCAGTTGGGTTGAAGCCAGCCTTCAATCTCAGGCCCCCAGATGTTCTTGGACTACATCTGAAACATATGACAAGTTCAGCATTTTAAGCCCCTCCCCGCAAAAAGACCCAGCCATTCATACGTTCAGCATTTTAAGCCCCTCCCCGCAAAAAAAAAAACCAGCCATTCATACATTTTGTGCATTTTCAGAATCCCAATGCATTGGGATACTGCTATCGTACTGAAAAGTCTTGTGTATTTCTTTTCTAGACAGCCAGAAAAAATGGTGAACAGAAGAAACAAGGTATTGTATCGTGCGCTATCCAGATGCTTGTGTTAAGTCCTAAACATTCGCAGAGAGCTGTGAGTGCGAACGGTAGTTGTGGAGGCCAAAACATACATTGCCTCTCTTAAGATGGCAAACTGGGGGGTGGTGGTGGCCTGAACTAAACGCCACGAAGAATTTGTGGTGAGAAGCTGGAATCCCCGCAAGCGCCAGACACCCTCCAGTGGCAATCCTGTGTGCTCTTTTTGCTCTCTTTCATCAGCTGTAATTGGGTGTTATTCGTTTTTGTGATTGGTTATTGTGTGGCTGAGACACGGCTCCAGTAGGACTCCTGTATCTGCGGGATCAGTATCTGCTGTTTCCCTTATCCAGCATCTGAAAATGTTAAAAGAAATATAGAAATAGGTATTTCTTAAGATGAAGTTGCTAGAATTGGCTACTAGAGAAAGCCAGAGGTCATGCGACGCATTGCATACGCTATTAAAATAGCATTCGCTATCATCTGCGTTTTTCAGCATCCCCATGGATACAGGGGTTCTGCTATATTTCCAAGGCCTGATTTGATTGCTACCTAAACTGAGCCAGTGCTACATACTTTAAATTCAAATTATGGGTTAATTTTATATACTTGCTTAATTAATGACATTTCTTTAAAGTCTGGTGGATAGCCTCTCTCTGTATCTGTTGTAGAGATTAAAAATGAACAAAGGAGAAGGGACAGACCAATTTGTAATGTTGCACAGCAAGAGTTTACTTTGATGCTCTGTTATTCATAGATCTGCAAAGCGATGGATATTACTAACAATTGTGAAGATTTAACGCCCTCTTCTGACACAGCTACTGAGGACATTGAGTCGCCTACCTCTGTCTACGGAGAAGCTATGATGCTGATCGAACAACTTACTCTGGACAGTAAAGGTGAAGTTTGTTTTTCATCTTTATTGAACGTGATGAGTTTGTTCTTCATACTGTCAAATAGTTAGAAGAACTGAACGTATTTGGGAGGTTTTCTTATTAGGGAAGGCAGATTTTGGATGAAGATCAGGAAAAACTTCCTAACAGAGCAGTAAGAAAACGAGACCTCTGATCTCAGGAAGTGGCGAGCGCCCCAATGCTGGAGAAAATCGGACCCTTATTTGTCCGATCTGCTTGACAGGAAAAACTTCCTAACAGAGCAGTATGAAAACGAGACCTCTGATCTCAGAAAGTGGCGAGCGCCGAAATGCTGGAGAAAAAGGGACCCTTATTTGTCCGATCTGCTTGGATTTGAGTTCCTGCCTTGAGCAGGGGGTTGGATTCGATGGCCTTCGAGGCCCCCTTCCAGCTCCATGGTTCTAGGATTTTCTTGGTTTTCCAGAAGTAATACTGTTCATTGCCTTTTTATTCCCCCCCCCTCTTTTTTTTGGCCAAATCGTTAACATTAGGATCTTTTTCCAAAGCAGATTTTGAGCAGGGAGTTGGATTTGATGGCCTTTGAGGCCTCCTTCCAGCTTTTTTTGGCCAAATCATTAACATTAGGACCTTTTTCCAAAGCAGATGCGGTGAGTCTCTTTAAAATTCAGAATATATTCCATGGATATGAACGGGTAATTGAGCGTGAAAAGGGCCGTTCCACCCAGCTCCTAGGAAAAGTGAAAAAACTTGAGAACGAGAAAAAAGACCAACAGCGAATTCTTGACGAAGTGAGAGAGGCGAAATGCATGCTGGATCATCAAACAGTGGAACAGGAAAGCGATATCAGCAGTCTGAAGTAAGAAGCTCTAATTAAATCTTCCACCCTTGGTACAAGCTTTACCGGGTGCTTTTTTCTTTCTTTCTCCCAATGCGGCTGGGATGATGAAAGTAAAATAATTCAGTGGCCAAAACCCTGTTGCTTGGTGTGGCATAAAGTAGGACCACGGACTCCACAGGGGATCGGTTCCAAACCCCCACCCCATGGAGGCAAACAAAACAAAAAACAACCCCCCCCCCACAGTGCTGTCCTCTGAAGATGCCAGCCACAGAGACTGGCAAAACATTAGGAAGAACAACCTTCAGAACACGGCCAAAGAGCCCAAAAAACCCACAACAACCATTAGATCCCGGCCGTGAAAGCCTTAATGAATACCAAAAAAACAAAAACAAAAAACACCCAAAACCAGATGTATCAAATGCTCCCTCTTGTCTCTGGCTACCCATGGATATGGGGGACTTGCTGTATATCTTACCATGTTTCATAAATGGTGGCTATAGATTCTGCTCTGCCTTTGTAGAGACGTACATGAACGTTCAGGAAGCACAGTTAGGAACAGGTCTGTTCTGTCAACTGGTATTTGAAATCTTAAATCCCAGATTCTCTCTGAAACAAGAAGAAGAAAAGAGGACGAGCGTTGAGATGCAGTATGAGAAAACCCAGGAACAGCTCAGGAAGAAAGAGGAGCAGTGTTGTAAACAGGTGGAGGAGAAGCAGCAGCTTGAGATTATGCTGAGAGGTCTGGAAGTGGAGTTAAGAACACTGAAAAACCGCTTGGCACAGGTTAGATTCTCTTCCATGGGAAATTCTTCTGCAAGATTTTAAGAGGTTAGGAACTGGCTGGAGGCGGGGAGGCGGGTGGAGAACCGTCGATAAGGGAGACGAACTGCATCGAACCAGCGGTTCGGGGCTCATTTCCAAGTGGAAAGGTCTTTTTAAGGAGAAAGGTGTGGGATAAAGCCGTTTTCGGCCAGTCATTCAATAGAGAATGGCAGTGCAACGTGGGTGGGCAAGCGAGCGCCATTCACAGAGTGACTACGAGCTGAGCACATGGGCAGGAAAGGGTGCTCACGGTAGGAGAACAGCAGGCGAGACCCTCGAAGGGAACATTGCACAAGATGTGAAATTAATGCATCTTTAGGATATGGCATGTATGCAAGACAGGCCTGGAGATTTGTGCATTAGAGGGAGTATCAAAGTTCACATTTAAGTGTTGCATGCGACATCCCACATACATGGTCCAGGTGCTGCAGTTTTTGTTCTGATGGTTCACGCAGTTAGAGACTTCTCCATCTGCTTCATCAGTATGGGTAACTCTGCATCCCTAAGCCTGTTGTTTACATAGGGCCATGGGAACTGCACTGGCCAGAGATTTCAGTGCTGTAGGGCTCTGGCTGCGGAGCCAGAGGTTGGGAGTTTGAATCTCCCGCTGGCTCCTTGTGGGGGAAGAGCCAGGCTGGGGAGGGGGGGGGCTTGGGCCAGCCACACCATCCCAGAACAAGGGGATATTTTCTACCCAGAAAACCCGGAAAAGGGTTGCCATATGCCAGAATTGACTTGAGGGGCCCGTTCCTGTTATTACAGAGTCTTCATACCGGCATTTGTTGAATACCTTTTGCAGGTTGAAGAAGAACGCGATGAAACGCAGCGACAGCTTTCTCAGGAACAGAAAGCCCGGGCTCTGCAGGAAGGGGTTTTGAACACCCACCTCTGGAGGCAGAAGGAATGGGAGGAAGAATCAAAGAAAGCAGCAGCTAAGCACTACGAGGTATCTGTCCCATCCGTTGCATCAACTTAAGCTCAGATCCATTTTTTAAAAACGTAGACGCGGGTCTAGCTCCGCTCTGCCTCAATTGGTGATGTGCTGTGGGCACTTAGTGTCAGACATTCGGTCCAGGAAGAGCTGAGTTTTCACCTCCACTTGATCACGAGGCTTGTCAGGTGACTCCGGACCAGGAACTAGCTTTCCGCTCGATCTTGCTCACTTCTTGGGATCATCGAAAGGGAGACAAGAGTCCTGTTTGCTTTATAGAGTTGGCTACAAACATAGCTGATCGTGATTAAGTGAGAAATGAAATCTGACTTCCAAGTCTTTCTTCTTTACGAGTTCAGGGAGATTAAAATAGTTGATGGGTGTTAGGAAAGGAGTGGAAACCTGGAAAGAAAATACAGTGGTGCCCCGCATGACGACGATAATCCTTTCCAGGAAAATCGCTGTACAGCAAAATTGTCATGCAAAAAAAAAATCCCCATTGGAATGCATTGAAAGCCGGTTAATGCATTACAATGGAGAAATACCTGTCGTTCAGCGAAGATCGCCCATAGAGAACTGCTAATCAGCTGTTTTAAATCGCTGTCTTGCAAAGCTTCTGTCCAGAAAGCACCCATTTTGCGAAGGGAAGCCATTTTGTGGAGCTGGAAAAATCATCGTTTTGCGAACAAACAGTTCGTAAAGCAAGGACCTAATCATCGTAAAGTGGGTTTGCGATCACTATAGTGATCTCAAAAAGTCATCATCATAGGAACCATTGTTTTGCGATCACTATAGTGATCTCAAAAAAGTCATCATCCTGCGGGGTCGTCATATTGCGGGGCACCACTGTACAGGGTGAATGTTATGATGCATGTGAACTGCAAACTACAGTGTAGTTTTCTGGTTGTTAAAAACCGCCAAGTCACCTCCAATTTATGGAGACCCTACGAAGGAGCGAATTCCAAAATGTTCCCTCCTTAACCGCCCTGCTCAGCCCTTGCAAAGTCAACCCTGGGGTTTCCTTGAGGGAGTTGTTCTGTCTCATAATTTAGTTTTCCTCTTTTCCTGCTGCCTTCCACCTTTTCCGGCATGATGGTCATCTCCAGAGAATCTTGCCTTCTCTGGGTGTGCTAAAAGTTGGGCAAGCCCCAGTTTCATGGTTTGTGCCTCCAGAGATCATCCAGGCTTGATCTGATTGACGGCCCATTGGTTTGTCTTTTGGGCAGTGCCAGAGTATCTGCAAAGCTTTACTCCAGCATCTCCATTTCAAACAAATCGGTGTTTTTCCCTGACCTCTTTGTTCACTATCCAGCTCTCAATATACTGTAATCTGCTTCTATAAACAGGATGAGTAAATTGAAGAATTTGTAGCAGGTCTTCTTAACTCTGTTTCTTTACGCATCATTCAGATGAGCGAGCATCACAACCAGGAAGAGGAACTGATGCAGCAAAATCAAGCCTTCCAGGAGGAGCTGGCTGTACTCAGAGCCGAGCTGGACCGCCTCAGGATTCACCACGAAGAGAAAGACAGCAGATATTTAGAAGAAAACGAAGCTCTGAAAGAAAAAATAGAAGACTTAAAAAAGGAGCTAAAATTAAACGAAGAGGCTTTGACACAGACCATCTTTCAATACAACGGGCAAATCAATGTTTCTAAAACAGAGGCCGCCGTGCTGGCCTCCAAACTGGAGCACACGAAGGAAAACAAAGAGCGACTCGAACTTGAACTCGACTCCTTCCGTGCCCGCGTGAGTGCTGCCATTCAGGAGCTTGAGCAGAGCCAGGTGTCCAGGAAAGATCTGGAGCTCACGCTGCGGCGCGAACGCGAGGAATGGCTCCGTTCAAAAGACCAGCTGAGCCGCGAGGTCGGCGCCCTGCAAGAAGCCAACGGCAGCCTCTCTCAGCAGCTGGGAAGAGCCGAGAGCAAAATCAACAGCCTGGAGAATGAACTCCAGCTTGCGACTCACGGTCTCAGAGAGAAGAGCTTGCTCTTCGAAGGTGTTCGGAGAGACCTGGATCAGGCCCAGGGCCGAGCAAAGGAGCTGGAACATGCCTTGGATGTGGAAAAAGAACAGAGGAACAAGCAGGTCATCAAGCAGGATTCACTGCAGGAGCGGCTGGCCCAACTCCAGAGCGAAAACCTTCTCCTCCGGCAGCAGTTGGAGGACGTCCAGAACAAGGGCGTGCTCAAAGAAAAAGTCGTGACTGACGTCCAGGAGAAATTTAGTGACATATTCGGCAAGCTCCAGGCGGACACCGAGAAGCAGCTCCGGATGGTGGAGGAGCGGAACCAGGAATTGGTGGCCAAGTGCCACGATTTTAGGGAGCAGGTCCTGAAATACGAAGCGGAAAAAGCGGACCGAGAGGTGAGCGTTGAGATTGTCTCAGGGAGAACCTTCACGCATTGAAATGCTCGTGGACGTTTCTGTAGGAGGAGAGGGAGCCCGAAGTCACAAAGACCGATGGGACACGGAGAGGGTGGTTACTAAGCTTTCAGGCACGTTATGTTCTCTGATATTGAATGACTTGATATAGTAGGACTCCTTTTAACGGGGATTACAGAAAACGCTGTTTATAACTAGTGGTGCTCTACATAACATGGACTTTGGCGGCAACTTCATCATTAGAAGTATATATTTGGGGGATTTTTCTTTTAATATTTAAAAATATTAAAAGAAAAATCTTCCAAATATATCAGCGGATATTGGTCCCGCAGATAAGGGCTCCACCCACTGTATATTGATCCAAATGTACAGGTTTAATTTCCACATTTTTCCCCTTTAGGGTACGGTCAGGCAGCTGCAACAGGAACTGGCAGACTCTCTGAAAAAGCAGTCCATGTCCGAAGCCTCCCTCGAAGTTTCCACGCGTTACCGGAGTGACCTAGAAGAGGATAAGCAGCAGCTTCAGAAGGAAATTGATCGAATAAAATCCAAGGTACGGGTAAAATACTTTATTAAATGCTAATAAGGCCATCTTCCTACTTCTTTTACATTAAGATTCCTGTATCCATGGGGAGATCGGTTCCAAGCTGCCGCCCCCCCCATGGATGCTGAAAAATGTGCATTATCGCAAACATTATTATAATTAAAGATGCTATATGTAACATCATATCTGGCTCCCTCAGTTGGCCAGTTCTGGCAACTTCATCATTAGAAATATATATGAGGGAGATTCTTTTAATATTTTTTGAGGCCGTGGATAAGTGAATCAGTGAATCTTGATTCCATGGATGAGGAGGTCCTACTGTAGTGCGTTTTTTCCCCTCCAACGTTGTTCTCGCAGCTGCAGGAGTCGGAAGAACAGTACCTTCAGTCAGAAAGACGAATCCACGACTTAAGGAACGCGTTGGATTCTAAGGAGCGGGAAGCCAGTGTGACGTCTCAGAAACTGCACGACCTTCTAGCTGCATCGTCGGGAGCAAATAATGCCATAAAGCAATTAGAAGGGCATATACAGAGGTACGATGATGTATTGCAGACTTTTTGAAATTACATTTCCAAGCTTAGCTGCCAGCGCAGATGTTGAACGTCGAATAGTTCCACATCATGTATGGCCTTGGCTTTTTGAGTGCGCCAGAAATGTACAGAATTAAAAAACAGTTCAGCAGAGCATAATTGCGGGACGGGTGGCTTTGAGACCTCCTTGTGCATTTTTCTTTGAAGGCTTGAGGTTGAAAATGCAAGACTAGAAGCCACAACCACCCAGCAAAGCCACAGGATCGAGATTCTTCAGAAGGACCTTCAAGACAGCCTTTCGGTAAGTCGGATCTGCTACGGTCCATGTCTGCAGAGGAAAAGCTCATCTATTCGGTTTCCGTCATTTTGTTTTGCGTTTCAAGAGGTTGTGCAGTCTGATCCGAGGGACATCGGAGTGGAGTAAAAGTCTAAGAACTATTAATTTGGGGTCCCTCTGACCCTACGGGGGTGATGGAACTGTTTGATTCCCCTTCAGGGATTATAAAGATATCGGGGAAAGATTGTCGTCATCAACAGAGCACCATAATATCCAAAGAAGAAGGTCTTGTCGGGAAATCTCTCAAATCTAAATTTGTAAACCTCCCAGAGTAGACCTTTGGTTTAGATGGGCAGGATAGAAATCTAATAAATAAATAATTTAAATAAATCTAAAGACTCTTGCAGCATCCGTAACCCATCGCTTTGTTTTATTATTTCGGCTGTAGGTTCACAGTCGGCTTGAGGAATTGATCACTGGCCTTCAGACGGCAAAAATAAATTTGGAGGAAGAACTGCATCAGCAGGTACGTTCAAGCTTTCTCAAACACCTCATCGTTTGCCTGGGATCCTTTAGAGGCGCAAGACTTCAGGGAGCAGAGTTGGATTTCTGTAAGGCGAGGAAAAGGGGACCTCCGACCCCATGGAAGTAATTCCCAAATTTCATGGTTTCTATATGTAGGGAATGCTCTCGACATGCTCAGGAAAATCTTTGAGGTTCGTAGGAGTTTTGTGAGGTGAGAAGGGAACAAGGCATGAGGTCAGTCAGCCTAGAAGGAGTAAACGAAGGATGACTGTCTTAAAAAGAGAGAGAGAAAATAAATCTGAAGGCTGGTTTTCCCTGCTCTCTAGGCCCAGAAACAAACGACACTCTCAGCGATGGCTCAAGATACTCACAGCTTGTGGGAGGAAGAGCTGAAGTCCAGGTCGAAACTCGGCATTCGCCTTTCAGAGCTTGACCGGGAAAAGGCAGAACTGATGGCTCAAGTAAGTGTCCCGGGCAGGATCTACACGATCAGGTCTCTTTTTTTCTCTGTTGCCACCAGGGGTTTTGGCGAGCCTTTGGAGTCCTGAGTTCAAGTTTTTGGGACCAAGTCCCAAGTTGCTTTAGCTTCATTAGGCAGACAGAACAAAACCACCCAAGTTTGGGGTCTGTTTTAAAATGAGATCAGAATGAAAAGGGAACATTTCCAAAGCAAGTGAGCCATGGAGAATGAAACTAGTTTCTCTCTCTCTGTGGTCATAGATCCAATGAGGATCCTGGGTTATAGCCTAACATTGCAACATACCACCGGATGGACACACTGATTATACAACTGGGAGCGTTCAATATATTGGCTAAGATCTCATTGTGTTCCTTCTGTCGTTGAGGCAAGCACTTCCTTTCCGTTTCCGCCACCGCCCGTGTTGATTCCAAAAACCCAGAACCAACTGCAAAAGGCACCAGGAAAACTAGCAGACTTGTTTCAGTCAGTTTTGTTTGTTTGTTTATTTAAAATATTTCCATCCTGCCTTTTTTGGGCTCCTTTTGTCTACTCCTGGTCGCCAGCTTTAAATGTTCTGATGACATACGCCGCCTTGGGTCCTTTCTAAGGAGAAAGGTGATGGGGCCAAAAACATTCCAGATCAATAAGTGAATAAATAAATGTTCCTTTAGAAGGGTCCAACAGGGGTTGCGTCATTAAAAGGCAGTGTTTAAAGCTAAAAAGATTATAAAAATACTGATAAGGATCAAACAAAGGCCACGAGACTAGACGGTGAACAACACATTCAAACCCTAAGGCTCAACTCTCCCTTTAAAAGCCCCGCTATGTTTGTGAAAGAGAGTGTTGTCTGAGTTAGGGTTGCAATATTCACTAAATATTGATTTGGGATTGGAGAAATCCCAAATTGGAGAAATCTGTTCAGCCATGAACCTTTGCTGCTGGTGAATCTGTCGTTTGGAGGATGCAGATGTAAGCCGGAGCTTCCACAAAACGAAGGAACATCTTTGCTCACGTAGGCATGGGGTGCTAGATTTGAGCAAAAAGCCATCCACGCCTCCCGTTTGATTTGCCTTTTTTAAAAAGTGAATGCCGGTGTGCACTTTTGTGTAAAGCATCCCATTCTTACCGTGTTCTCCCTCTTCGGCAAGTGTGAGAACGAAAGGAAAAAAGTGAAGAAGCTGGCAGAGTTAAAACGCTCGGTAGAACTACGTCTAGACCAAGAAATGAAAAGAAACCATGAATTGCAGAAAGAATATAATGGGTAAGAAGATCTTGATTTGTAAGAAAGTAATAAGTAGTTGCTTAGTTTGTCAAATTCCTGTCTTGTTTTTATTTGCCTGCATGGTTTGCAGATAATATATTATCAAATTACAGAGTACATGTATAAGATAATCCAGTAAAACCTCCTGTATCTGCGGTAGGTCCGTTTCAAGCAACCCCCCACAGATGCCAAACAACACAGAATTATCACAAACACGATTTTAATAGCCAATGGTATACATCACACTGTCTCTGGCTCCCACTCATGACAACCCCCCACAGATGCCAAACAACACAGAGTTATCACAAACACGATTTTAATAGCCAACGCTATACATCACACTGTCTCTGGCTCCCACTTATGACCAGTTCTGATAACTTCAACGTTAGAAATACATATTTCCAGGATTTTTCTTTATGAGCTAAGTCAGAATTTTGAAGCTAGGGATTTGTCGTTGAATAAATATCCTTTGGATAAGCAACAGGTGACTCTTACTTTCATTTCCCCAGTTTGTTCACCCCTGGTTTTATTTTTACAATATTTAACAGAATTAAAAAACTTGCGAAAGTCACTAAGAGAAAACTGAAAGAGTATGAAAGCAGCGAGAGTTCATGGCGAGACATGAAAACCAAATATTCCGAAAATGAGGTGGAAATCGGAAAGCTAAGAAAAAAGGTATGTTCTTGTTTCTGCATCAGCACAGTTGCTTCTTTGTATGAACATCAAGGATTGGCCAATCCGTGCATTTTTTCCAAAGTCCTCCTGACAGAGAAAATCTGTAGCCTGTTTTATGTATTGCATTTCTTCCAGGGACTTACGCACCGCCCCATTCGCGTGCAGCACCGTTCTGGGTGGTTTGCATTAAAAGTTCTCCTGACTTTTTTCTGGGATTCATGGGAATCGCAGCCGGAGCAGTAACCAGGACATCCGCGCAGCCGCTTGGCCTGCTGCCTAGGGATGTTGGCCAGTCTTTGGGCCCAAGCCCCAGACCCGACATCCAAATCCCTTTTAAAAGCAAGCTTTTTTCCTCAGATAAAAGGGAGAAGGCGGGTGGATGGGACCTGAGTAAGTGCCTCGAGCTTCAGTCTCAAGAGGGCATAACCAGTCCATCAGATCTTGGCCATTCCTGCTTGCTTATTCAGGTGGATGAACTTTCTTACCAGCTGGAGGCTGAATCCACGCGGTGCACTCGTTTGGAATTGGCCAACGACGAGCTGCGCAGAGAGCTGTCTTCTATGAAGACGCTGCGACGGAATTACGAAGAGCTGCAGAAAAGCAAGCAGCGGCTGGAGGAAGAGATGGCCGGCCTCCAGACTCCGGGGCCAGGTCGCCCGTTCGACCTCAGCCAAGTGGAACAGTACAAAAGGGACGTTGAAGAGCGGGCCAAGCAGGAAGTCATTCAAAAACTGGAAGAAGTCAATTTGTTCCTGCAGGTAAATAGGTATTAATATGTTTACCTCATTAATTACAGCAACACCCTGGTATCTGAAGGGAATCAGTTCCAAGCCCCCGTGTGGATGCTGGAAAACGCGGATAATTAACGCTGTCATCATAGTGACAGGAGACCTAACCTGGTCTCCTGCTCCCTCTAGAGGCCAGTTCTGGTCACTTCCTCTTTCAAAATACATATTTCTGGATTTTTCTTTTAATATTTTCAGACTGTGGATAAGCGAACCGGTGGCTACTGAGAGCTGCTGTAATTTGCTCTGTTTATACATCAGATCCGGGGAGAAAACAATCAGCGATTAATAATCCTTTCGTCCTGCCTGTTTGTTTTTAAAATTTGTGGGCGTACGGGGGAGCAAACCAAGCGCGGTTGTCTTCTAAATTTCGTCCTCTGCCCCCTTTTCTTTGTCATAGACCCAGGCGGCCTCACAAGACACCTTGGAACAGATCCGGGCAACTAATCAGGCCTCTTTGAGAAACCAGCTCGAAAAGCGGATTCAGGATCTGGAGTCCGAGCTGAGCAAACTGAAGAGGTGCGAGCAAGAGGGCCGCCTGCAGAAGGAGCTGGCGCAGTCCGAACTGGAAAGATGCAAGAGCCTGTACTCGGAGGAGTTAAAAACGAGGAAGACCTTGGGGAGGAAATTAGATCGGTAATGGCACGCTGTGTTGAGGGATACTCAAGAAAAGAAACTCGGATGCCATCGTCCCTTTCAAGCGATTGATCTACTCGTTTCCCCGTGGCTGCCCTTATTATTATTGTTAATATTATTTTTGCAGAGCTCAAGAGAAACTGGCCGAAGCAAACGCCAAGCTCTTCCACGAGCGCCACCGGAGCAAGTCCTTACTGGCCAGCAGCTTTCTAAGCGGAAGCCTCTCCGCAGGGCCCATGCGGGAGACGGTCCCGCTGGGAAACCTCGGCGGAGGCAGCCTGGCATTCGGCCGGCCCCTGAGCCTGGGGTCAGGCTTCGTCGGCCCGTCCGGAAGCCCATTGGCTTCGAAAAGCCGAGTGGAGGCTTACTTGGCAAAGGTTAGTCATCCGGGGCAGGGAGGCTCGTTTTAAGCGATCCTCTGATGTGGTCCTTTGAGGCTTCCTCGTTCATTTCTGTTTCACAAATCCCCTTGCCCCACATACGGTAGGACCACCCCCACCCCCCGTATCCGCGGGAGAATCGCTTCCAAGCCCTCCCCCTTTCCAGCAGATGCCAAGCAACACATGGGACAGTGAACGGTCTCTGGCTCGCTCTAGGGGCTTTCCCTTATCCACGGCCTGAAAATATAAAAAATATTAACACGCTTGTGAAAAACTGGGGGGGGGGGGGTTCGTTGGGCTCATCTACCATCGCGAAGAACGGAAAACCCCAAAAGCCCGTGGCAAGATGGGCTTCGCCCGAGAAGTGACACGCCAAGGCCGCTGCGGCTTGAATCTTTCGCCTTCGATCTTCGGACAAAGAGGTGCAGGATGTGCAAGCAGGCACACACACGTGCGCAAACGCCTTCCGGTTTGACTTTTCTTTGCAATGGACACACTTCAGTTCAGGATGGGGGAGATCTGCGGTAACACACACACACCGAGAACTGTGGGGTTCAGGTTAAACGTAACGAATGGGTCCCGTGGATTGGAAGAGGGCAAAAGCGCACAACTCATTTCCTCCGTTTTCCACTCTTGCAGCCATATCCTGCACCTGTTTACTCAGATGTAAGCCACCGTCAGTCCAGGGGCTTTGACTCCGGACGATCTATATCCCCAGAGTAGATTGTTTTAAATTTTTCTCTGTCAAGGAAGTGATTACTTGGCCTTCTTGCCACGGGGCCCTTTTTCCTTTCTGTCTTTAAGAACTCCACTCTCACGGCTTATTCTTTCCTTCTTTAGCTCCTTGATCAAAAGTCTTTTTCTTCCTTCTCTGCTCTGCAATCAGAAACTTGACAAGGTGTGTAGCTGCCAACTGCTTTTCATGCTCCGTGGGTTCTTTTACTGAATAAAAACACGACTATTCTGTGAGAGAAGTAAAAAAGTGTGCTTTGTGCTGCAAGTCAAGCTAAAAAAAACCCAAAACCAGCAGATGTGTCTAGAATATTGTTTATGTTGATAATTGTAAACATAGATTGTATTTGAATGTTTGAGAGTAAATGAAAATCATGTCTAGTGTAATGTAGGCTGAATCAATTTCTAGTGTGGCCTCTCAATTAAAAAAAATTTTTTTTGATGAGTAGGACTAAAAAAATCCATGCTATTGGTATCCACTGATTCACTTACCCACAATCTGAAAATATTAAAAGAAAAATCTTAGAATAAAGGTGGTATTACCTAAACTGACCACTCGAGGGAGCCAGAGACCATGCAATGTACAGTATAACGTTTGCTGGAGAAATATATTTCTGTGATGCCATTACCAGAAATGGCCACTAGAGGAAGCCAGTGACCATCTTGTCTTGAGCATCTGCTGTTATAATAGCGTTTGCTATGTTTTTCAGAATACATTGGGAGGGGCTTGGAAGTGGTATTCTTTTAACATTTTCAGGATGTGGAAAAGTGAATCCGTGGATACTGATCCTGCGGATAAGGTGTCCACTTTGTATACAATTACCACTCGAGATTTTCAGAGTAACATAGCATTTTCATTAACTGTGCAGAAAACAGTTTTATACTGATCCTGCGGATAAGGGGGTCCCACTTTGTATACAGTCACCACTCAAGAGATTTTCAGAGTAACATACCATTTTCGTTAACTGTGCAGGAAACAGTTTTCATTTGTCATTTAGCCTGTTAAAATTATCAATCTTTTCCTTTTTTTTTCCTCTCCCCTTTGGCAACTGCAATAGATATGGTGGCATACTTTATATATTTTTTATTTTTATTGCACTCCCAAGTTCTTTTATTGAAAAGTTCAATGTCCGTAAAGGTTTCCTTAATTTAAACCCCTTGTGGGAAATGGCATCAAAACAATATTGGAATAAAAGATAATCTGCATCATGCAGAATTACTTTTTATCATAGCTAACAAAATCACACCCTCATTATCATTTCAGATGCAAATGGAGCTAGAAACAACCATCAACAAGGAATTAGACCAAGGTATGTGGAAACTGCATGTTGTCAATTTTTAAATTCCTGCTCCTCTGGAATCTTACTTTCAACATGATAGCAGTACAGCGAGACCCCTGTATCCACTGGGGATTGGCTCCGAGCCCTCCTGCGGGTGCTGAAAAACGCGGGTGATAGCAAACACCCTTATAATAGCAAACACAGATATGGCACGGCCTCTGGCTCCTTCTTGTGGCCAGTTCTGGTAACTTCATGGTTAGAAATATATATTTCTGGGAATTTTTCTTTTAATATTTTTAATATTTTCAGAGGGTGAAGAAGCTGATCAGTGGATACTGATCCTCTGGCTACTGGGTCCTGTGGTTCTCTATTGCAGATGTAAATTGCTAGGCAATTATGATGGCATTTTCTTGTATGAACAGCTCTTCTTTTTTGAAAAAAAGAATTTTGTGACAAAATAATTTTCCTGCTATTGACTGGGATGGGGAGCCCCCCTCTCCCTTGTCCATTCTGTGTTTTCTGCGAAAGCGGTTGGACTCTTAAAAGTTTTGTGGTTCTTCCAGCTAAGGCTGAATTGGATGCCGCCTCCGCCCGAGTCTCCCCGATTGGGTCCCTTGATGGATCTTCAAAAAACCTAAATCCGGAGCCAGACCAAGTTGCCAAGGCTGCGCAGGAGTATCTCGACGTTTTGAAAAAGAATTATATGATTTGAAGAAACTCTTGAGAAACTCTTGTTTAGAGTGTGTGGAATGTGACTTTTGGGATAGAAATGGGTGGTCTGTTCCAACTGTGAAATCATTTCATAGTTATATAAACGTATCAAGCACAAAGCACTTCTAACGCTGCACAGGGTCCCCCCCCCCATTCCATTTGTTCCTCCCATTTTAGGCAAATATATGCCTGCCGATCGATGTTGTCCAAAACTGCCCGGTCGCTAGTCATTTTTATGTACTTCTGGAGGGCCCGATGGTGTGGTCTTCATCACAACACTGAGATACGTCAGCGTTTTGTGCCAAGAGACTTGTTGCAGGCATTTTTCAATGGAACATAAAATGCACAGAGGTTTTCAATGAATGAAACCTGGGGTACTTAGAGCCGTTGGTACCTCCTTGCTTGCGCTATCAGTGACTCTTCTTTGACTTCCTTCCCCCCCCCCCATGTTTTCAAGAGTTGTCCGATATTTTACGGGGGCCTCGGAGAGCAAGCTTGTCAATCTGCTCTAGGGCACAGTTCAGAGGTAAATGAGAAGGTGGTTACTTATTCTTGCTTACAGTAGGGCTCCCATATCCGCAGGCGGATCAGTTCCAAGCCCTCCGTGGATGCAGAAAAACGCAGATAATAGAGAACACTATTTTAATAACTAACACTATACGTCACATGGGCCTGGCTGTCTCTAATGCCCAGTCCTGGTAACTTCATCTTCAGAAATATTTATATTTTTAAGATTTTTCTTTCAGTATTTTCAGGTCGTGGATAAGTGAATCAGTGAATAGTGATCCCGCAGATAGAGGGTCCTGCAGTATTATAGCAACAAATTGTTGGTAAATACGTGGCATTACAAACACACACTTTTAAAGGAAAACAGTGTTTTTCTGCCTCTCTGCGTATTGTATGCATTTCATCATGTCTTTGCATTTAATAAAGTTTTTTAGAATACTTTTGAGTTCTTCTGAAATCATTTGGGCTAATTCTTGTTTTTTCATCTCAACGTTTCAAGCTTTAGAAGAGGGTTGGTTTTCTTCCCAGAAATGGGAATACAGTATTTCACTTTTTAAAAAATCCATGCACATGCGCCGTTCAGTTGGAGGTGCCTCAGGAAATGAGAAGGATGGGCTTTGTAGTACCAACATTTTGGAAGGGTTGTTCTGGGTTTTTCGGGCTCTTTGGCCCTGTTCTGAAGGTTGTTCTTCCTAACGTTTCACCAGTCTCTGTGGCCGGCATCTTCAGAGGACAGCAACCTGTGCTCTGGTGTAGTTGGCTTGGGAGTGAAGGGGCCCCTTTGAGTTATCTTCTAATCTAGACCATGGTTCCCAGCCTTGGGCCACCCAGGGCTTCCTGGACTACAATTCCCATGACTCCTGGCCCCACCTGGTGGTGGCTGCTGCTGGGAGTTGTAGTCCATGTATACCTGCATGGCCCAAGGCTGGGAGTCATTGCCATCCACCAGTGCTTCCCAACCATGAGTCCTCCCCACCCCGCTGAGGTTCCTGGGGACTACAACTTCCATGAGTCCTGGCCTTGGCACACCAGGTGGCAGAGAAGGCTGCTGGGAGTTCTAGTGCCCGGACACCTGGCGGAGGGCCCAAAGCAGGGAAGCCCTGGTCTGGACTAAGAACCCTTGGAGTCTTTGTTTAATTTGAACATATAAATCTACCAACTACAGAACCCTTTGGAGTCTTCAGGGGTTCTTGGACTACAACTCCCAGCAGCCGGACTGGGGCCAGGGCTCATGGGGCTTATAGTCTAGGAGCTCTACCTGGGCGACGCCCTTGCACTGTTTCGGGGAAGGGAGAGAAGGAAAGTCTTCCCCGAGGAACGCCTACATTTCCCAGCAGGCTGTTCGGGGGCGCGGCTTCCGCGTACGTCACAGGAGGGGGCGGGGCTCCCCGGAGCGGACCAATCCTCCCTTCCCAGCGTGCCTTGCGCCCCTTCCCTTTCCCCCCTCCCACCACCGGTAGCGGCGCGACGTGTCCGGCGCGGGAAGCAGTCATGGCGGCGGCTGCTTCGGCCTCTTCGGGGGCCGCTTCGGCTCCAGCGGGCGAGGCCGACGAGCTCTTCGACGTCCGGAGCCACTTCTACCTTGGGGCCTGGCAAGCGGCCATCAACGAGGCCCAGCGGGTCAAGGTCCGGGGGGCGGGGCCTATATGAGAAGGGAGGGCAGGTGGGCGGGGCCTAGAGGAGGCAAAGATGGGAGTGGCCCGGTGCCAAGGGGGCGGGGCCCAGAGGGAGGGGAAGGTGGGCGGGGCTGAAGCCCAAGGTGGGCGGGGCCGCTCAAGCCACAAAGTACAGTTACTGTATAGAGATACTGTATACTGTAATATAATTGTATACGGTAGTGTGTCTGTGTGTGTGCATAAATTTTATTTATTTTCTCTGCAGCCGTCCAGCCCAGAACGAGAGATAGAGAGAGATATTTTCCTGTATCGTGCCTACATCGCTCAGGTGAGATCATCAAACACCCCCTGCAAAGGGCCCCCTCTTCCAGCTTCCCAAACCTGTTAATGTGGGAGGAATGGATGGCGCGAGTCACTCTCTGTGCTGTATATAAATAATGGGCGCCCAAAGGTTGAACTCTAGTTCAAGATCCTGCTTGGTTTTGGGGTTTGCGGTGGCGTCCTGGGTCACCCAGGTCGGAGGCCCTGCTCCAAACTGGTCCCCCCCCCTCTCAAGGGGGCTCCCCTCCAGGTCCTGTTCCGGCAGCTAGAAATGCCCATCTTTCTATTTCTTCGGGTGATGCTTCCTTGAAGCTCTGCTGGCTGGGAAAGGGTTGAAAATACAGTAGGGATCATGGTATCCATGGGGGATATTTTCCAAGTCACCCCGCGGATGCTGGAGAACGCGGATGTACAGAACAATAAACACAGCATGGTCTCTGGCTCCCTGTGATGGCCAGTTCTAGCCAGGGCACCCTGGAAATATAAGTACAGTATGTGTTTCTGGGTTCTTACGGTTTTCAGGCAGTGGAAGTTATGTTTCACCTCTGGAAGGCTTTGGTGAAAGAGGCTCATTAAATGCAGCGTCAAGACCCTTTAAGGTTTGGTGGCACCCCTTAAGCGCCATGAGCTGCACATACCACAGCTCGCAACTGGGGCTGATGGGAGATGGAGTACCACAAGCAAGGACCACTGTTGCTCCAGAGGGAGAGGAGAGGAAATATGAAATGCTAATCTGCAGAAGCAACCTTTTGTTTGTGTGCATGTTTGTGTGTTTTAATAGTCATGGCACGGCACCAGTCAGAGGCAGATCACCTGGCTAAATTTAGTTTTGCGTTCTGTACAAACAGGGATTTCTTTCTGATTCTCCTCTTCTCCCAAATCGTGCAGAGAAAATATGGCGTGGTGTTGGACGAAATCAAGCCCAGCTCATGCCCGGAGCTCCAGGCGGTGCGGATGTTCGCCGAGTACCTTTCGAACGAAAGCCGGAGGTGAGTCGGTCTCCGGGCCTTTGAAAGACCAAAACGTTTGTTTTTCTCCCCCAAGAGATGAGACGTTTTGGGGCTGTCTTGGAATCTGTGGCTTTTTCGGGTCAAAAGGCCTCCGGTCCCTGGAGAGCGGAGTTTAACTCCCCTTTTGTTAGTTCCAATTCAAAGAGACCTGTTTAATCAGGGGGATTTTGGAAATCGACATTCTGTGATTAAAAACAACTCGTTGGGTTCGAGCATCTGGCTGTGGAGCCCGGTGTCAAGAGGTTTCTTCTCCAAACAAACAACAGCTGGTTTCAGCTTGGAACGGATCCTGGTATTCTGGGAGTCGCTCTGCAGGAACGTCTTTTTTTCTGGGACATCTTTTTAAACAAATCTTCTTGCGAGCTCGCGAGAGGAAAGGCGGGCCTTTCCGGGAAACTCCCACCCCCTGACTCGGCTCCCCTGTGGGATTCCTTCCAAGGGATGCTATAGTGGCCGAACTGGACAAGAAGATGGCCAAGAGTGTCGATGTCACCAACACGACTTTCCTGCTGATGGCGGCGTCGGTCTACTTCCATGACCAGAATCCGGACGCCGCCCTGCGCACCTTGCACCAGGGGGACAGCTTGGAGTGGTGAGTGGCTTTGCGCTTCTGTTTCTTTGCTGTACGGGACGACCCTCCGTATCCCTGGAGGGATCAGTTCCGAGCTCCTCTCCTGCAGATGCCGAAAAACGCGGATGATAGCAAACACTAGACACGGTCTCCAGTGGCCGGTTTTGGAAATATATTTCTCTAGTGGTCGGTATACATATTAGCAGGGTCTCTGGCTCCCACTGGTAAAGGTATGTGGCTCTGTGAACCTCCTCTTCTCTCTCTCTTCCTTCAGCATGGCCATGACGATCCAGATCCTATTGAAACTGGACCGCCTGGATTTGGCCAGGTAAGTTCCCAGCTCTGCCAGTGTTTATGACGGTAGGAAAACACCCCAGTATATCTGCGGGATTCATTCCAAACCCCCCTCCTGCAGATGCTGAAAACCGTGGATTATAATGAACATGATTTACTAGCAAATGTGTCTCTGGTTTTTTTACCCCTGTTCATTAAGCTATGAAGCAAACTTCAGAAATTTTGTTCTAAAAAACCAAAATTAAAAAGAAAAAAAATTGAATAGTGTTCTGATACTCAGATCCAGGAGTTGATCGCCCGGGATCCTATGTGCACATTCTCCAGATCCTGCATTCCAGAATAAATGGGGGGAGGGGGAGAGAAAGCCCGCTTTGTGTCTCTTAAAAACCCCCCTTTTCTTAGTGACACACACCATCTCTTTGTCTGTGTAGGAAGGAGCTCAAAAAGATGCAAGATCAGGACGAGGATGCGACTCTGACCCAGCTGGCCACCGCGTGGGTGAACATAGCTATGGTAGGGGCCATCGTCTTCTGTCTGGGGGTTTTGGTTTCAAGTGGCCTCTCTCCCTCTGGGCCTCTTGGAATAATACTGCTTTCATCCCCACTTGGGTCCCGTTGGTCGTACTGCTCTAACAGTTAAGAAGATTTTTCCTGATTTATTCATCCAAAATCTGGCTTCCTGTCACTTAAGCCCATTCTTGCATGTCCTGCCCTCTCTGGGAGGATGGAGGACAGATCCTGCCACTGTCCTCTGTTCAAGTCTTTGAAGAGCCCTCTCCTGTCTCCCCCTTAAGACTTTCCATCCTTCCTCACTGCTTTCCAATCCCCCCCGATCCTCCCTGTTGCCTTCCTCTGGACTTGCTCCAGTTCGTCAGCATCCGATGCGGTGTCTAGAACTTGACCCGGGACTTTAGAGGAGGTCTCGCCAGTGCCGAACCGGGGGGGGGGGAACCAGCACCTCCCAGGATTGGGAGACTCCTCCTGTTAATGCCTCCTAAAATTGCACTGACCTCTCGCCTGGACTGGTCAGGCCCCACCAGCCTGACAAGAGTGAGTCCTTCTTTGGGACGTGTGTTTTCCTCCCTCCCCAAATTCAGATTTCTTGGCCTCTTGTCTTCGCTCCTCTCTCGCAGGGGGCCGAGAAGCTGCAGGACGCCTACTACATCTTCCAGGAGATGGCGGAGAAGTGGTCGCCCACCCTCCTGCTGCTGAACGGCCAGGCCGCCTGCTACATGGCTCAGGGCAAGTGGGAAGAAGCCGAAGGCGTGCTCCAGGAGGCTCTGGACAAGGTGAGTTTGCATCAGACTGGGGCCAGAGCAGGACTACTGTTGAACACGAAGACGACAAAATAATCATGCCCGCTTCGGGCTGACGCCTGTCCCTTCTGTTTTCCCCCACAGGACAGCGGCCACCCCGAGACCTTGATCAACTTTGTTGTCCTTTCCCAGCACCTGGGGAAACCTCCAGAGGTGAGGCTTTGCTTCTCTGGGTCTCGCAGAAGGAATGGAGGGATCCCTAGAATCATGGAGTCGGAAGGGGGACCCCATAAGGCAATCCAGTCCCTCCCCTGCTCAAGGCAGGGACCCCAAACCCAAGCCAATCAGACCAACCGGGGTCCCATTTACTCCAGCACCGGATTGCTCATCACACACACACCCCAAGGTCATGGGGTTCCCTCGTCGTACTGCTCTAACCGTTAGGAAGTTTTTTTTCTGATCTCCAGCCGAAATCCGGCTTCCTGTCCCCCTTGAGCCCATTCTGACGCATCCAGCATACTCTGGGAGGATCATGGAGGAGGACAGATCCTGCCCCTCCTTGGGAGGACTCCCTGTAGGGATCTTCCCTCTCTTTAGACATTTTTTGGCTCAGGCCTCTGCGGAGCCCAAGGTGGGGCGTTCGAATCCCCCGCCGGGAGGAGCCTCCTGGAAAGGGGCTAGACTGGATGATCTCGAGGGCCCCTTCCAGAGGATAATGATGGCCTCTCTCCCTTTCCCTCTTCAAGGTCACCAACCGCTACCTGTCACAACTGAAGGATGCTCACCGAAACCATCCCTTCATAAAGGAATACCTGGCCAAGGTAAGGAGGCTTCCCCCCCCCCGCCCCAAACTCCCAGCCAAGACCATTTCCCCGATGCTCAGCAATTGAAATGCGGAGCGACCGAAGGAAAGTTTCTTTCGGGCAAATCCTGATTTAGAGGCAACCGGCTTTTCCCTTCAAGATTGCTTCCTCGTTCCCCTTTTTTAAAAACCTTAAGGCATAAAAGGAATTAATTTTTTGAGCTGCTTGCTCAAATCTGCGGTTTTTCAGCATCCGCGTGGGCAGGGGGTGTCTCCGATCCCCCCTCGATTCGAGGGGGGTTCCTCCGGTACTCCGCCCTTGCACTGTGGGGGTTATTATCTCTTGCACCACCTTTTCCAATGTGATTTTGCTGAGGTTTCTTTGCCACCTCTTAACCACTAAACCTTTCTGTCTCTCTCTCGGCTTGCCTTTTGCTTTTCAAGGAACGTGACTTTGACCGGCTGGCCTTGCAATATGCTCCTTGTGCGTGAGGCTTGTTGAGAGGGGAGAAACCCCAGTCCGGCCGGCCCCGTTTTGCCAAGAGGCGTGCCACACACACCCCAGATCGGCATCTCTGTCCCACAGCAAACCGAAGCCAGTTCGCCACCCAAAGAAGAGCGTTGACGGCAGGGTACCTTGCTGGGAGTTTCCCTCTGCATCGCCTCTGGTGGGTTTTATGAGTTCCTGATACGAGACTGCACCCCAAGAGGGAGAGACTCGCAAATAAAATATATTTACATATTTCCAATAAATACCATGCTGTGATTATGTACTTGACTTTTAATAGTGTGAAACAAGGGCCTTCTGCACTCATCTGAGTTTTTGGAAAATATTTTCCTATTTCTCTGCACAGAAGGACTCCATATCCTGGGGGGGATCGGTTCCAGCCCCTGCCCCCGTGGATGCTGAAAAATGTGGATTGTAGTGAATGCTGTACATAGCACAGTCTCTGGCTCCCTCTAGTGCTCAGTTCTGGTCAATACACCATGGAAATATGTATCAGCACGTATTTCTGAGGGGTTTTTTTTATTTAGTATTTTTCAAGCAGCGGATGAATCCGTGGATACTGAGTTCGTGGAGAGGAGGGTTTAATTGGACTCACAGACTCCCATTCCATGTCAGTTTGGGAAGGATGGATTTTAAGGAAGGGCGATTCCAGTCAAATTTTGGGGAAGAATGCTGGTTTTCTATTAAAGGTCTATCTTGTTTTAGTGATGCATCACTGCCTGTGTAGGCCCCAGTTCTCCTGGAAAGAGGAGTATAATAAGACCCTTGTATCTTCTGGGGATTGGTTCCAAGACCCCTGTGGATATTGCTAAAACCATGGATAGCAGGGTAAAGGGTGGGGGGGGGAATAAGAAAAATACATAATAATTTTTACTTGAATTACCAGAGCTGGCCACTAAAAGGCGCCAGAGACTCCTGCCTCTAGTGGCCAGTTCTGGAAATAGTGGCCACTAAAAGGCGCCAGAGACTCCTGCTCTGTATTCTTCACTAGGAAGTATTCGCCACACAATTCCTGGCTGCCTCTAGTGGCCAGTTCTGGAAATACATGTGAAAATAGTTTTTTTCCCGGGTTTTTTCTTCCTTTCAATATTTTTTATTTTTTCAGACCGTGGATAACTGAATCGGTGGATGCCGCTCCCGTGAGGCAATCTGAGCATTCCACCGTGAGCCCCAGAGGGCAGAGGATGGTGGTGGGATTCCTCCTGGAGGATCACCCCTCCCCGCGGCCTTGCCTCGCAGCTTCACTCGACCACTCCCAGCGTGGTGGTGGGGGGGCGTGGGAACCCTGTCGCCTTTGACCGTCGGAAAGGATGGTTGGGGTGGTGAGAGGCTGGACAGCAGGCTGAATGCTCGCTGGACGGCCTTTGCACGTGTGTGGGTGGGGGGGCTCTGTTGCAAGTGTTTGTGAAAGGGGCCATTGTCCTTTGGGGGACGCGGGGAGGAGCTGTTCCCAGCCAGGAGCCGCTTGGCAGGACCCCGTGGGGGGGACAGGGAGCTGAAAAGCCCCTATTGTCTGGCCCTTGGTCGGCCAGAGACCAAGACGAGGCGGCTTGCAATGTGCCTCCCCTCCCCGGGTGCCTGAGCATGAATGGGCTTTCAAAGCCCTGAACAATAGGGACTGGGCACTCCCTGGGCTCTGATCTTTTCGTGCTTCTTGATTCTGCCAGGTGGGGGGGAGGGAGGGGTCCTGCATTCGAGGTTCTTCTCTGTGCTCCCACGAAAGCTGTGTGGAGGGGCTCTCCTTCTAGGCAGGAGCACTGTGCCCATTCAGCCGCGGCCCAAACCCTTGGCTAGGTCTGGGGGGGGGGTTCCAGCTGGGCGCATCCCAAGGAGACGCTCACCCAAAAAACAAAAACCACCAGAACTTAGGTTTTTACAAAGGAAGGTCTCTTTCTTTTCTTTTTTCTTTTCCACGTTCAAGATTCTAGACCTTACAGAGAAGCGGGCCTGCTCCAAGCCTTGGGAGAGGGGTCTGCACCCAGTGGGAAAGTGGAAGCCGGCCCCGTTAAGAGCGGGCTAAGCTGTGAAAGACCCAAAGGGAGGGGGTACCCAAGGCAGTCAAGCCGGCCCTCTCTCCCCTTGGGGGGGGACCCCTCGGGGGGGCTCAGTAGGAGGTGGGAAAGCCGCAGGAGAAGAGGAAGCAGGCTGGGGAGAGAGAGAGCGACTCCCTCCATGGAAACCCCTCCCCCACGGGGGGGAGAGCAGGGGTGTGGCGTCCACCCTCAGTGATATGCATTATTCATAGGTTCTATGTTAATGTGGTTGTGAGGCAGAGCCAAGGGGGATGCTGAAGGGCTGGAGCCAGAGAAACTAGAAGGGAGGCTGAGCCAGAGAAACTAGTCAGTTCAGTCAGAGAGAGAGAAAAGAGAAGGAGTTTTTGAGGGATATGAGGCAGAAAGTGTGTGTTTTAAGGAGTGATTAGTCAGAGGGTGACCTGTGTTAATTGATATAGGAGAGGGTAAAGTAAAATACTGAAGCTTGGTGTTGCTTTAAAGAAGGGGCTGAGGAACTAGTCCTGGCTGGATCTCCATCTTTCATAGGAATTACAGGATGATCAAGAGGATCGACTGGGGAGGCATTGAGGAAAAAAGGGCCTGTTGGGAGACCTTCGTTGAGCCACCACCACCCCTGGTTTTTGAAAATAAGCCAGGGCCACCAGGGCGAAACGCCACGAGGGGTGTCTAGCGGCGGGATACGAAATAAATCCCGTGAAGCCGATGTTTAAAAGTGAATTTTCTGGAGTCGGGGGGACTT